ACAAAAGCTCGTATCTATAATAAATAATAATAAATCAAATTAAATCGTACCAATAACGATGGCATATTACAAACGTTAGCTTTCCCAAGAAGTACAAGGGCTGCCAAGCCACAGTATGCATATCCACCATGTGCTTCCATACCTGGGCAACCTCCAAATCCACCTTCCCATGTTTGACATTTTGCAATCCATTCGTCTGTTCCTTTGAATAATACGGGAGTATATATATTTGTAAGTCTGGCTACGGAAACAGCACAATACACTCCTCTTATATCAACCTCTCCGTCCACGTGCATGCCAAAAGCACCGTCCTCTCCTCGCAAGGATAATAGGAAATTGTACAGGCCTTTTCTGGAATTACCGCATCCTTTATTTTGAGAAAGAAAGTATGTAATTGGTGATATAATATTAATAAGAAATTTACCATGTTAAAACATTAATAAATTTAAATGAACAAACTAAAATTATACTGACCTTGCAAATTAAAATACATACCTGTTTATTACCGCATATGATTCTGTAGTTCCTATAATGCATAAAGCATTAACAGCAGCATATGTTGGTGCTAGATGAGGATGCTGCCCTGGACCTCCACCAAAACCTCCTTTTTCAGATTGGCATTTGGCTAAGAAACCAGCAATCTTTGAATATTCTTCATTTTCTAAAGATTCTCCTAATATATGAAGTGAATGAAGTATCCAATAACATAACCATGGCCTGCTACAATCTAAACCCTTGACATAAAATAAATCTAAATGTACAAGTAACTTGATACATTTTTAAAAACACTTTTAACTTCAGATTATTATTGTAAGATATAAATGTTTATTTCTTTTCTTATATACATATACCTCATAAGGCTCACTAAGATGAATCAATGATTTCTTTAATAGTGCCACATGTTTTTGTTTGGTTAAGATTGGATCTTTGTTTAATTCATAAATTTCAAGTACATTTTTTTCTGTACTGATCTAAGAATAGTATTATAAAATATTATAAAATATAAGAAGATATATGAGTATATAAATATCTTTCATATTTAGGTTATAATATTAACCTGTTCAACTGTAGATGCAGTTTCGATACTCTCCTCATCTTGTTTTTGTTCTAATAATTCTGCATAACTTCTAACATGTATTCCTTCATCAATGTCATTAAACTCTGAATTCCACATAATCTATAAAATATATATATGCAATAATATGCGTTTATTATACAAGGTGTTATAGGTTAAAAATGATTTGTATTACTACAGTTATTATCAGTTTTAGTTTAAAAATAGATATGATCAATTTTACTTCAAAGCATGAAATCAACGTAATATTAACATAATATTTTGTATATATTTAAATAGAATGTTAGAATAACATTTGAAGCATTCCAAGTAACAATAATAACAATTATAATAATAATAATAATAATAATAATAATAATAATAATAATAATAATAGTAATAATAATAATAATAATAATAATAATAATAATATAATAATAATATGATAACTTTGCTCACGTTAAAATTATTGTTTTCTTTAACACTATTTCAGTAACTATTTCATTTTATATGTTAAAATAATTTATTATTCATCTCAAGGTTACAAAATGTTCAAAAATTCTTTGGAGATAAAACAGAATTACAAAGAACAAAGAAATTTTAGACACTCATTGAAATACCTCGCATCGAGTGAAATGAGGTGTTTAGTCACAAGATGGCAGCACGTGAAGCAGTTTCGCAAAATCATTTAAATCGTTAATGTCAATTTAGATAGAAATACGTTCTATTTTTTTTATTAATTATTTATATTTATGTAATTTTAATGAAACAAAAAAAATTTAATTTTGAAAGATTTTGTCATTTACAGCAAATTTACGTTTTAATAAAAATGTAATTCTTAAAAATAAAGTTCAAAATTTGTATTATTTATAATAAATGTACTAGAGAATTACAAAATAGTGAAATGAATGGGATTTCTGTAAAATGTAAAAAAATGCAAATATATATCATATATCTTATTAAGTTATTCTACAATTATTTGAAATATTTGAACATTTTACATCATCATTAAAATATCTTATAAAATTATCTCTATATTATATTTAATTATACTTATATTTTAATTCTAAGAATTCGATTTAATGAGATTGTAAAAAAAAGTGAAATTAAAAGTGCTCTTCAATATATTGACGTATTACATGGATATCGTAGAACAGTATAAATTTATATTATTACTATAGTAGTATTTGAATCAACAAAACATTAAGGCTATTTATCATCTTTAGTTTTATAATGATTTATATATATATATATATATATATATATATTCCCCACTTATTTCGTGGTTCATACTTTGTCCATACCTGTTGCTGAAGTCAATTATGCTTTGAATAAAAGATATTAAACAGCCTTAATGAATAGATATGTTTTTAACAAGTGTTATATAAGTTTCATTGGCTTATATAAATTCTTAGAATTCAGGTAATAGTACACAAATCTGTTTCTAATACATAACAAATAAGGCTATCTTTAATATAGGTAAATTATTGGATTCCAACTTTACATTCAATATACATTATGTGATAGATTATGTCATCACATCAAACTTAATTATAAGTTCCAATATGTAACCTTTTAATGTATTATCAAATCTATTATTTTCTATATTTATTTAGGTAATAATAATTATTTATGTAATACATATTTATATAAATAATTACAAAACTAATTACATCTATTTCATTTTTCAAGAATAATGATAGGAAAAATATTATGAAAAAATTAATTTAAAGAATTGAACAATTTATATGATTAGTATAACTAAAAATAAATTTAATAATAAAAGAAATATAAAAATGTAATATAATCCTTAATATAATTTACTATTAGACAGGCATAATAAAATTACAAGCATATATAATAAAAATTGTCAATGAAATTTTAATTGCAATTATGGTGATGCTTTTGGTTTTAATTCATCATAACATGGCCTAAGAAATATAGAATTCTTTTTCGCAGGATTGTAATATTCGTGACCCTGTAATGCAAATAAAAAATTATAATAATATATTATATAAATGTAATATAATAAAATCTGGGAAAAGAAATCATACCTTTGACCAATCATAAGAAACTGCATAAGCAAATATTTGTCCATTATGATTAAAACAACAGCGAATAATTGGCTGTTCCATTATTTCCGATGATTTTAATTTTGTTCTAGCGTCTTTATCCCAAAAACCAAAAGTACCATCTGCACCTACCGTAGCTACCGTACCATGAACAGGATGAAATGCTATATCATTTACCTAAAATGATAAGGGGAAAAGATAAAGCCTAATTTCAAAAATCTATTACCTATATTATTTCATTATACTAACTGCATAAATATCCTGGTAACCATTTGGAGATCCATTTATCCTATGACATTTGAATGTAAAATTGTCTTTACTACTTTGATTTAAATGATGTATAGCTACACGTCCTTCTGTACTTCCAATGGCAAAACCAGTAGGTATTTTCTTTTTATCTCTAAAAATTGCTACACATCGATATTGATATTTTAAACTTAATTCAACAGGTTTAAATTCACGTGGACTTCCTTCTAATTGGTATACAATTAATCCACGTCCTGCTGTTCCTATTACAGCCATTGGATAATCCTTCAAATAATTTTATTAATTAAGAATGATAGATATAGTTATATATATTGAATAATGTATATATATATATATATATATATATATATATATATATACTGAATAATTATTTTTAAAAAATTTAAATACATACTACATCAGCACAATAACATTTTTCAGGTAAATTAAGTGTCATTGCTGGTTTTGGATTCCTTAAATCCCAGAACTAAATATATAAAATTAATAAATAAATAATAATATAAATTTAATATAAATTAATATATTGTAAAATAATCTATAACCTTTAATGTTTTATCCCAAGAACCAGTCATCAGACAAGAATACGTAGTTCCTTTAATCCAATGACAAGTTCTAATAGGAGCATCATGAGCTGCTACAGAAATACTTTGATTTGAAGCTAAATCCCAACATTTAGCAGTTTTATCGCATGAAGCCATAAAAACTTTTGTTCCATCCTAATTTAAAAAGAAAATGATAATTATTAATTATATTAAGAAAATAATCAGATTTATGTTAATATAATGTATCAACATGAGATAAACTTACATCGCTCCAACAAACATCAAGAATAGGTGCTGCCATAGATTGTATTGACTTAGGAACTGTCTTACCAGATTGTTCGACTTCCCAACATCGAACATTACAATCCCAAGAACCAGCAACAAGAAAATTCTGTTGTAATGAAGCAGGACTAAATTTTAAACTAGAAATAGAATCATCTGGTGGTGAGACAACCTCAAAATCTTGCATAGGATTCGATGATGTCGCTGTTCCTGATCGTATAGCTCCATTTGTATTAAACATTTTGTTTCGATGATAAAATGATCTGTACTAGAATATAAAAAAAAAAGAAAAGAAATCTTTTATATTTAAAATCCTATAATATATAAGAATAATTTCATTTTCTTTCACACAATGTTTATAACACAAATCGTACTTATTTAAATTATGAACTTTATATACGTATCGCGTATTATTAGAGAAAAAGAATTAAACATTGATAATGTCAAATCTTTTTCAAATTCATTAATTTTCCTTAACAAATTCACTCAAATATATCTAAACGTTTTCCTCACGTTTTCTTATTACAAATGATTGCAACATACAATTAATGAAAACATACTTGTTTTATTCTAAAATCTCATTGGTCGAATTTTCGTCTTTCACGGTAGGCGGATAGAATCACATGAAAACTTAATAACGCGAATTTTCTAACTAACGTTTCACTACCAACACTTAATTATTAAATATAATGGACAAATTATAAATTTCTTTAATTCTAGGGATCTTTTTTCGCTTTCTAGCGATAATCCCATACATTTTGTTACATAGTGGTCGTGTAAAATACAAATGTAATAAGTAATACATTTAATACGCGATACGCGATCTAACAATAGGTGTCCGTGGTTTGATATTGAATGGAGAGAGTGGGGGTAGCAGGCAGCCATATTGGCTACTGGTGCTACTACTGGACTTTTGAGAGAAAGTAAAAAAATAACCACACTTTTTTCATAATCTACATTAAGAAAAAATGTTGCGTTGCAGGATTTTTCATTGACCTTGTAAATTTTGTTTAGTCTGCGTGAAAACAAAAGTGGTGTTAACCTGTGAATCTCTATAAGAGTACACCCCTTTTAAAAAAAAATGGTACGTTTTTTTTTTTTTTTAAGCGTCAATTCATTATTAAATTGTTTTAAATTTTTTCCAAATATCTTTATGATCTATCTTCTTTCGTAGAGTTTCTTTGGATTCGGTCAGTCTGCTGACATAGACATTACTTTGGATGGTGCAGAGACCAGAAAGACAGCAGATATCAAATCTGAGGATGGCAAAAAAGAACATCATTTGCTTTATTATGATGGGGAGGCAATATCTGGAAAGGTAGGAGTTTTCATTTGATAGTATTATCAGCATATATTATAGGATATTCAAGTTTTCAAGTATGTGTATTATTTAAGAATTACTTTGATGATATATGGCTTAAGTGTCAAAGTATAATAATCAGACATCAGTATTGACAAAAGTTTGCTAATTTTATTATTATTTTTCATTATATCTATAATTTTATGTAAACTTTGTTGATATATATTAGATAATATATTATAGTATTGTTATAACCAAAAATATATTTTTAAGTTAATTTATATCTATCAATATAAATTAATAAATATAGAATATATAATCTTCTTTTAAAAATTTCTCAGTATCATTCAACAATCATTATCACATTATACAAGTAATTTAATTTTAGTTAATGTATTCTACTGTTACATACATAATAGGATTATTCTCTCATTGCTTATAGATTACCATTAGTTTGAGAAAAGCTGGTAAGCTAGAACATCAAGGTGTTAAAGTGGAATTCATTGGGCAGATTGAATTATACTATGACAGAGGTAATCATCATGAGTTTATTAATCTGGTAAAAGAGTTAACCAGGCCTGGTGAATTAACTCATAATACTGTATATACCTTTGAATTTGCAAATGTTGAGAAGCCTTATGAAAGTTATACTGGTTCTAATGTGCGGCTTAGATACTTTCTCAAAGTGACAATTGTTCGAAGACTTAGTGATATTGTTAAAGAACTCGAACTAGTTGTGCATACACTTAGTTCCTATCCTGATATGAACAATCCTATTAAAATGGAAGTCGGAATAGAAGACTGCCTACATATTGAATTTGAATACAACAAAAGCAAGTAAGAGATTAATAATTTAATTATAACATGAAATTATATTATAATTTCTTATATTTTATGTATATGATATTTTATTGCTATAATTTTCTTCTAGATATCACTTAAAAGATGTTATTGTGGGTAAAATATACTTTCTATTGGTTAGAATTAAAATCAAGCATATGGAAATTGCCATTATAAAACGAGAAACAACTGGTTCTGGTATAGAATATTCTAGCAGCAATTTACTAAGATATTTTACAGGGTATTTCGATTTAATTAATATGGTAAAATATTTATATATATAATAAAGAACATATACATAATTGTAATACGATATTTTAGAATTACTTTACTTCACATTGATAATTTGAGTTTTTGATATCATTACAATAATATCAGCTGTTTCTTATTAGTAGATTTTTCTAGCCTTCATTATGTTCAAATATATTTAACCATATTAATAAATTGTCTTGCCCCGTATAGCGGATAGATCATTATTCATAATTTTATACAATTTATAAGCATGCCATAAATGGAAGAAAACAATTTTGTTTTTATAAACAATTATTTATATATCATAAGCTTTACTAAAGTTATAATTAGAATATATCTTTGCAGGGCCACATACATTTACAGAAAATGAAACGATAGCTAAATATGAAATTATGGATGGTGCTCCAGTACGTGGAGAATCTATACCTATTAGAGTATTTCTAGCAGGATATGATTTAGCTCCCACAATGCGTGATATTAACAAGAAATTCAGTGTTAGATATTTTCTCAACTTAGTTCTAATGGATGAGGAAGATCGCAGATATTTTAAACAGCAAGTAAGTTAACGTCACATTTGCACTTGTTTCTGTAATTCAATATATTCTTGTATCAATTATAAAAATTTCATTTGTTATTTTTTTTTTTTTTTTCCTTGACAGGAAATCACTTTATGGCGTAAAGGTGAAAGAAGTAGAAAGTCTCAAACGGCATCTCCACATATGCCGTCGCATTTAGTGTCAGCTGAAACAGGATTTCCACAAGGTGCTGCACAAAATGGACCACCATCAGTGATAACAACCACTGATCAATTATCAACTAATGTTAAAAGTATAGAGGAAACTCCTGCTCCCATGGAAGGTATGACACGTGAGGAAGGAGATGGAGAAGGAGAGAAAGAAGCAAATCCAGAAAATAATTAAATTGTGGAAATAATTCAGTTATAACTGAAATTAATAAGTAGTGGACTATATGAAAAAAATCAAGTACATCTAAAACAGTGCAAATGGATAAATACTTTCCACAAGAATTTTTCCTTGCTCTGGAGTAGGGACAGTTTTAGTAAACGAAAATGACAAAGCTGCGAATAAAGTTGTAAATATTTTTAATACATATATATATAAATATATATATATACACACACATATATATATATACATATATATATAAAATTAAGAATGTGAATGAAGTAAGTGCAGACTATTGATTAAAAGTTGAAAACTATTGAAATATATAATATACTAGTCCTGTCTGTTTGGCAGGATCAACATAAAAGTTTTATTGGAAAAGAAAAAAGGATGATAGAGAAAAAGCCGAACAGTGAAAGATAAAACTGGGAAATAGAAATGTTAATAAATGGACAATATAATAATCAAATATTAAGTGGTCAACATTATTGAAGGGCATCTGAATATTACAGTGTTCTATTTTATACAAACCTTCTATATTATACAAATTGCATCCTTGATCTATATATTATTCCTTGAATCTGAATAATCATCATTGTATAAAAGGATTTTGTAAATCTGAGAACTATATTCACACTGGCACAAAATGGTACTCGATTCATTTGGCCTCTCATCAACATATTATGTACCTATACAGAGTATTTTGAAAATTAGTGCCTATAAATAGTCTCAGATTGTTGTAAATTTACTCAAAATAATTATTATATTTAAATTAAGACAAATTTTCGTTTTTCTTTAATTTTTTTTTTGTTTTTTTTTTCTTTATTTTTTTTTTTTTTTTTTTTTTTTTCAATAACATTACTCTTCTAATAGCATAGTTAATTATAAAAATAAATATAAATACAAATAGTTGCTAATTTATTTATGTAAAAACATTTTAAGTTTATATATAATTAATTTACAATGTTCATGACTTAAACTTAATTTTGCAATAGAATGTATTAATTTTCAAAAAGCTCTGTATGATACATCTGATATTAATTATAATTCAAATTGTTATAACTTCGTATAATATGCATTAATTTCTTATGATCTAAAAATTGAGATATAAAATTTAACTTAGTTACAGTAGCCATTTTATTAATGGTCATTATAACGTCAATTTTTAATTTTTGCATTTTAAACTTTAAAATCATGTTCCATCCTATAGCATACATGATTTTTTTACATAATTGTACAATATGATTTTATATGATTGTTTTAATTTTAATTTTGCCATAACTTAATATAATACTAATTACAAGCAGCATTTATTTGACCGCCTTGAATTATACCCATTTATTAAATTTTGGCATATTTGCGCAATTTTTGTATGTCTTCTTGTACGAGAAGAAAAATCAGTTATAAGTATGAATTAAATAGATGGTTTTGCCTTGTGTGTTTTTGCACATATTTGAAATATCAAATAATGCAGTGGGAAAACTTTATTTTATAATTCAGTTTCCAAAATTAAAAGTGAGAAAAAGAATAATTGATCTTATGTAAAAATTAATATTATTTGGTGAGTTTGGATTCTGAATCCATAATATAAAAGTTGCCACTGTTTTATAAGATGTTATGCACAGAACTATGTGTTTGTGCATATATAAATAATTTTTAATTGTAAAATTAGTAATCAAATATTTGTAATTAGTAAAAAATATGAAAGAGATGGAAAGAATTATTACAGCTGTATAATAAAAGTTGATCTACATTGTGTAATGAAATAACATACAACTCGTGGCATTATATTTTACTTTCTTCTGCTATTATAAATATTAGTTTTATGTAAGTTTTCATTAGCAAACATAAAAAAGACAAAAACTATTTACTTTTTGGTATTCACGCTTATCAAAGATTTGATCATTTAAGTATATCCAACAGTGCTTATTTATATATTAAATATGTTATTTCTTTAAAATAAGTGTATAGCTAATAATAGCCCACGAGATTATTATTTGATTAAGTAAAATATCATCATATATGTTTCATTTATGTTATTGTAAATATGATCTAATTATAAAATAATATCCCAGTCTTTAAAATATAGTTATGTTTGATAGCAATGTATCTTTGCAAATGTAAGTAATATACCAAACTGTTGTTCATATTCTTCAGTTGCATCGTCTTTATTTTTTTAAGTTTTTTTTTTTAATATAGTTACCTTCAAATCTATGTTTTCTCATCGTATTACAATGCTACTTAATAGCATTAATGGTCTCTTTTTGATAATTTATTTATTTTCATAATTATTATTTGGATTAAATGAACATTAATAAAAAAAAAAGAAGTATGTGAATCAAGCAAAATGAGACTAATATAAACAAATAATATATAATTTTATGTCAAACTGCCTCTCTATAAATCTAATCATTCTATATTTTTTTAGTATATCAGTGTTATTCCTTATTGTGCAAAATTTAAATATGATATTAATTTTTTACCATTTCCTCAGATTGTTGAATTCAAAATTCTAAAATAAAAAAAAAATATATTTTTTATATCTTATAAAAATAATATGAGAGACAGAAAGTAATTATTATTAACTTATTTATACAATGAACAACTTAAAATTTTTTTAAAACAACTTTTATAATAACTAAGATATATATTAGTTTATTTAAACATTGAATGTTTATTTAATTGTTAATTAAGTTTATTACTATCTTCTATATATAATTTCTATATCTATTTTCATTTTCTAAACAAATCAACAATATAATATTTATATCCTTATGCAAATTGTTTCTATCATGCTTCTTGGTTTTCTATTATAATTGTAATTGTTAATATTTCTTTTGTATTATCCTTTATTGATTTTTAAAATAGAAAGTATAGTGAATTATAAATAAAGTTAAACAATCAAAATAAGACTGATACTGCAATATATTAATCATTCCTAATTTTTCATAGATTTAAAATAATAAATTAAGATTTATCACATTGACAATCTTTCAATTTTTGAAAAAGCTGTACTGTTTGTTTTTCGAAATTACTTTAATCACAAATTGCAATTATATTAAATAATATTACGTGTATTAAATAATTAATGAGTAATATACTTTATTAATATTAATATTTTTTATTTGTCTATTGCTATTTAATTAAAACTGTTCCAAGTTAAAACAAAAAGAATTCAAAATTTATTTACTTTGTCGCCATCTACAATTGAATTCGATGAACTAAATTTGAAAATATCCCCCTACTAATAGGCAATCTTCATACATGTATGTATAAAAAAACCCCTTTATGGGATTGACCCATCAGAAATACATCTGCATACTTCGTATATTTTTAATTTTTTTTTTATGTGACATCGTTTTATGCCTTTAAATGTATCAATATACGAAAGTTTTAATACAACAGAGAAAATATAGTCTATATTATGAATAGATTTATGAATAATATTATACGAAAATTGATAAGTTGCCAGTTATCTTTTGTAGCGTATGATAGTAGGATAAGGATAATTTATTTATTTATATATATATATATATATATATATATATATATATATATATATTATCTCGTACAATTGAAATTATGGTTTTTCAAAATCTGGAAATCGTATTATCAAAGTGATTTCATAAAAATTACGATCAATCTAGTTTGACCAAATATTTAATAAATAAATAGTGGGAAGTGTAATTAAAGTAATAATTTGTTTTTTTAGATTTGTAAATAATCTATTTTTGATTAATTTGTAATATATGTATAGTAGAGGAAAGATTTTGTTCAAAATATTTATCGTTCAAAAAAAAAAAAAAATACCTAATAACAATCAATAATTAAACGATTCGATGTAATAGGTAAAACATAAATAATTTAAGATTATTATCCGATTAGTCATGTATGTAAATAATCATTAAACTTTTGATTGATTGATTACATTCGTATACACCTACGTTAGTTTATCAAAGATACCGTAACGCCTAAAGGGCAATGGCGGGGTTATTGATTGCAGATGAACGTGACCGCGCAAGCTCTGTCTCTTTCAATGAAATGTCGTGCTTGCATATGGAACCGCGAACAAAGATACAACGATAAAAACCTGTGGGTAAAATACCTGCAGCTGTGATGATCAAAATGTCATTTAGTTTGATTACTTGTGCATGGCTAATTACTTTTGGTATCCTAACGAATCTCTCTCATGGCGAACTTGAATTTTACCAGGGTAAGTTTTACAAATTAATTTCTTTTGTTTTTCATCTATAATATGACATGGTTATAAGTATAGTATGTCGCAAATTGAATTAATCATCTATATTTCATATTTGTATATATATATATATACATATATGTATACATATATATACATACATATATGTATACATATATATACATACATATATGTATGTATATATATATATATATATATATATACACATATATATATGTAAAAATGTATAATATTCTTCTGATTGTTTATAGGTATCTAATTTGTCGAATATTTCATGATCATATTCTAATAATTATTAAATTAAAGAGCACTTGTGATTTAATTTAATTAACATATTTGCATGAAGGGCATAGTTCTTATAAAACATAAGCTTTATGTGGTGTCATATAATAATGTTAGGTAGTTTGGTTTCTTACCGATTATATTTATATTTAGATGCAGTTCCAGAAGTGCCACAAGATATTACTGCTTTAAAACAGTTCGCTGAATACATTACAAATCAAAATCAGAAACAACACATGCATCATTCATATCTACTACCACTTCTTACCTCACAGATTCACAAGAAACATCACTTGGATCTTAACGAACAAGATGAACATGAAATTTTTAAGCCATTAAAAGAAAAATTTCATTTGGATGATAGATTGAGAGAACAAAAATTAACACCCTGGAATTATATTTCCCAGATTCAGCATAGAGATTTAAAACAGACTTTGCCTAAAAACGATTATAATCTTTTATATTATGGTTTTAATCCATTGTTTAAAAACTTTAAAGATTACTTTGATTCTGAACTATCCTATCAAGGTAATGAATTAATAAAAGATAATCAAAAGTACAGAAATGTAGATATTGGATATTTGCAAGAAAAAAGACAATCTCTGTACAATGCAGAGATTGAAGATAACACTGACAAAGAAATAACAGCTGATCTTTTAAAAAAAAATTTGATGTTAAGTAATAGACAAATAATAGAAGAAAATAAAGACTTTATACCATCATTTGCACAAGTACCTGAATTCACATATTTTTTTGATGATTCAAATTTGAAAGAAAAATATCCATTTATTCAACCTAATGATCCTAGGTACTATGAAAATACCATTTTTCCTGTGGGTAAGGTATAGAATGTAATTTTAAAAATATCATTAATTTTAGAATGGAAAAAGTAACACTTTTATTTTGTGCAGATACTAGAAATAATGAGAGAGATCAGGAGCTAACAATTGAGCCCATAATTATCAAAGAAAATATATTAAATGAACAAACTACGGTAAAACAATTAAAAGATATAGAGATCGATAAACACAATGAAATAAGAAATATTACTGTAGGAACATTAATGGAAGAAGAAAAATCTGAAAAAAATCGTCCTTTTGTTGTTTCAATTGCTCAAAATTTAAATGATGATATATATTTTATTGGTAAGATCACAATTTGTGATTGAATTAATTAAAAGTTGGGATTTTATTTGGAAAAATTCTTCAATCTCTGCGAAATTTTTATTTTAATTATATCCATTCATATAAATATAATATTCACATTTATTTGCAGCTGTTATTGCTGGTTGCAGTGCAGCAATAATGTTCATTTGTGTATTAATCAGTTTAACATGGTGCAGGTAATATTTATAGATTTATTTTGTGAGATATTAATTTCGAAGTATTGGTATATTTTAATATATGTTTATGTCAGATTGCATCGTGGAGTAAAAGCAGCTGCTGATATAGAATATCCAGCTTATGGTGTAACAGGTCCAAATAAGGATATATCACCTTCTGAAGACCAAAGACTGGCTCAATCAGCACAAATGTATCATTTTCAACATCAGAAACAACAGATTATTGCTATGGAAAAGTTTGTATCAGTATTATAATTCCATGAATTTTTATTTTACATAAGTCTCTCTGCATTTGCAACTGTACTGCTTATAGTCGTACCTCTACAACTAGAGATCCAGGATCTTTATCCGAAGCAGAAAGTGATGAAGAAAATGAAGAAGGCGATTATACTGTTTATGAATGTCCTGGTTTAGCTGCAGTAAGTTATTATAATTGTCTTATTATTATTATTATTGCTATTATTATTATTATTATTATAATTATTATTATTATTATTATTATTCTTATTATTATTATTATTATTATTATTATTATTATTATTATTATTATTATTATTATTATTATTATTATTAAGATGATTTTGTTTTATCCTTTTTAAGACTAGTGAAATGGAGGTAAAAAATCCCTTATTTCATGATGATCCAACTCCAGCTACACCAGCACATACTAATAAAGAAGAGGACCATATGTAGTTTCAGTAAATTGCAGCCAAATTTACTTTTAAAATTTTCTGTGGTGCTTAGCTCATTGTTAATGTACCATATCAAAAATAGCTATCTATATTAAAAGTATAGAATTTTATTATTATTATTATTATTATTATTATCATTATTATACAATATGACAAGTATATAAAAAATATTTTAATGAAAACAAACTATAAAATAATTATGGTTGCAGTTTTCAAAACGAAGCTTTTTAATTATATAAAGATTTTTATATGATCGTTTTTTAGTTCGGTTTAGTAAACAAATGTCTTTTTCTCTATGATATGAATAGTATATATATTTTCATAATGAGAGATTCAATATGACTATGCAGCAAGATTTATGCAAAATGTTATATTTTATGTTGCATTTATAAAAAAAATATTACATACAAAAGTAAAAGTCTGCATTCGTTTTCATTCAGTTATTATATATTATTTAGCAAATTATTCTAAATATACATTATGAAAGTTTATAATGTAATTCTGAATGGAAATGTATTGAGAACTATACGTATTCATGTATTAATATATAAAATGAAGAAATTACATGAGTATTAGTCCAATATAATACAGAATTGCTATTATGGATAGTGATAAGTACTTGACTTATGTCACTGATTTGTAACATTTACTTTTTCAATTCTTTCCAATTTTCTACAATTAATAACCACTTATATAAATGAAATAATTAAATGCTATTTGCATGTATTTCTTATGATTCTTGTAACAGAGATGGAAATATAATACATGCAAATTGTAAAATGAGAGAAGATATATACAATATAAAGCACAACAATATATGCAGGGTAAATCCTAAGTCATATATTAATTTATAGTAAAAGATTTCAAACTTAACTGGAATTATCAATATTTTCTGTTAGCTCGTTTATTATAGTGCGATGTATAATGTATATTCCATAATTGGCTGATTCTTTTCTAAGTTTCTTTCTTGATACTACAAACCTAATATTGCCGAAAGTAATAGTAATCTTATAAACACCTAAAAAAGAAGTACTTTGAAAGTATTCATTAAAATATTAAAGTCAGGAGTACAATGGAGTCCATGGAGAAATTGCTATTATCTATGCTATAAATCCAATGTTTAGTAAATGCAAATATTTTTTAACAAGCTTGTAATTTTGCAGAGCTCTATTTTTCACAAATGTTCTCTATATTATTCTGAGGCTAATGGTTAAAGAATAAATACTATGAAATATAAAAAATAATATTTTTGAAGCTTTACTAAATATTTTTTTAGCTTATTCTCTAAGTTATTATATCATAAAAAAGAAAAATAAATAACTAGGTAGAAGCTGATATTCTTTTTGTAAATTTTTTTTATATTTAGTTTAATAATTTTCAAACATTATAATATTTATTGTTTAAATTATTAATGGATATATCTAAATCAAAGCTTAATAGTTAATAAATAATCTAATCTATTAGGATGTTAATATAATAATTGACTATTTTCATTTATTATTAATTCGAAATTATAGTACTGATTTGATAATGGAATATTTGATTATGTATGAAATTAAATATATCAATAATTTACTATTATTTAATATATGATATAGCACTTGTTGCTTCATAACAAAAATATTTTATTTTTATAAAACGGATTGTTAGCTGTATAAAGAGTTTATAAGATATACTTGTATACTATATTGCTGTTCTTATTAATTTTATTATAATATGAATAAGAAATATTATTATACATATTTTTCACTATTAAGTTATTTGCATTTTAATAAATTGTAGTGTTATTTGTAAACTCGACGATGGTGGGCACTAACTAGACTAACACTACTGAAGTTGAACTTCCTTAAAATAATAAACTATATACAATAGCAAATTTATTTATTTATTAAAATATCTATAATTGTATTTTATATGTAAACATTATGTGTTGCAGCATGGGTCTAAATTTGTACTCCTCTAATCTCTTTAGGATCTGTTATTGTGTATTAATAAATGTAATACTATATATACATACAAAGATACTATACGTGGACAATCCATATACAAATCAATTTTTAAATATGAATTAAAGTCAATGTTCGCTCAGTTTCATTACATTTCATTAAATTATGATCATTATATCCCTTAATAATTACTCGTATACATATATAAATATATATGATGTAATTTATTAACATTAACATGTTAATATTATTCAACAAAATATGGCATTAAAATTAGATAAATTTATATATTCTCTTTTGTTATTTTATGTTGCAGAGTATATATAAAATATAAAGATATTGTTTAACATTGTAAAATAAATTATATCATTGTTAATATTATTTCAGCTCTTCCATTATGTAATCTTGATTATAAAACATGTTTTTATTTTAATAAGTAAATTGTTTATTTCATAAAACGATTTAAATCACTTATTATTATATTAAACCAAATACTTCATCCTTTGTAAATTGTAAAATTTTCATACAATTATATTTATTAACACGATATTATTTTCTATTATTACAACAAGTTGCATAGAAAATATAGAGAACTTAAACTAGCTAGTTCATATATATAATATAAAACTATATTAATACTTTGCTAGGTAATTAATGATCTTGGAACAACTGTATTAAAATTTGCAATGAAATAGTGTATGGCACAAAAACACATGCAGAACATTGTATAAATATAAAATTATCAAAAAGAAAAACTGGTAGTGCAAAATACACTACATGTTAAACAGCTCATATATTCTTATTGTTCTTTAGTTGGATTCCATGTTAAGTAATCAAGTTTAGTTGCTGCTTGATATTCTTTTACTAAATATTCAACTACAGCTCTTGAACTATCAAGCTCATCAAGATTATCCTCAAACATTTTTTCTTTTCGAAACTGTTCTAAGAATGCCTCTCGTTTGCGTAATTTATCATATTGTTGTAGGGCTCGATCAAAGAGCTAAAATAGTATATATATAAGTGAATAGAATTATTACACAGATTTTAATAATTCATATAATTTTCAACATATTCATTTCCATTCGGTTTTATATCCTTTGATTTGAATTATTATTCCAATATACTTACTGATGATATGTTGGTATGATTGGCCAGCATTAAACCTGATACACGATGTGTACTTTGAATATACGGAGATTTTCTAGAAAGAGCAACTTGTATACTAGCAGGTCCCCAGGGTATAAATTGCGCTAACTTCCGTTCTCGTATTCTTTGTAAAGATTTATGTACTTGTGTGGGATCGACTTCGCCCTAAATAAAAAAAATTTTTAAATTATTAATTTTATTAGTATACATATCATTAGTCTATATATAATAAATAATAATTCTATAGTGAAAAGAAAAAACAAGAACATGATTGAACCGATAGTATCTTTAATAAATAATTATTATATATTATGGAAAGATGATATTTATAAAAATATAAATTTACCTGTATAATGTTCAAAATAGATATGTAACAATGAGAAGCATTTCTATCCAATGCAGCAGAAACCATCATATTTTTTGGTTGCAGTAAACGTCGCATTACATCCAAAACAGATGTTTTCCTTACTGATGCACCCTGTTATCATGTAAATATAAATGTATATATATATATATATATATATATATATATATATATATATATATATATATATAAATATATATATAAATTAATACACATATATACATAAAAGCTAATAATTTATGTTATCAAAAATTAAATTTAAATATATTCTTAATATTATATTTATATATACCTCTTGATCTGTAGTAATAGGTGTATATCCTGTCATTAAAAAGTGTAGACGTGGTGTAGGTATCAATGGAGCAATTAAACTAACTAAATCATTATTCATATATGAAGGATATCTATAAAGCATTGTATAATAAAATTAAAAATATCAAATATATAAGTATAAATCAAAATATATATATCTCTTAATATATTATATATGTAAAGAACAAAATTCTATTAAAATCATTATATAAGCAGAATGTGTATAAATAAATAAATATGAAAAAGATACCTAAGAGTTGTGGTGCTGACAGACATTATTGTAGAGACAAGTTTATTAATTTGTGTGAAAGTAGGGTTTTGTATATGTAGTCTGTCCGATGCAATTCTATTCAAAGCTGTATTGTCTAAGACAACAACGCAATCTGCACAATGTGTTAGTCTTTTTAATGTTAGTAAAGAATTGTATGGCTGTACCACAACATCGCTAGAAAAGACATAATAATAATATAAAATTAACAGAATCATATTAGATATATTATTTTAAGGTATTGTAATTATATAGTGCCTAAGAACCTTATTTCATCCTGATTTGGAAAAACACTATATGTTTCAATCAACTTTTTTGGAAATCGGTCTGCAAGAGATTCCAACATAAAAGATCCCATACCAGAACCAGTACCACCTGCTATAGAATGACACAAGACAAAACCCTGAAATAACGATATGATATTTATATACATTTTAAACATTTCTAAATGCATTTATTTGTTATTTTTATTTTGTTTTTTTTTTCAATTTTATACTTCTAAACTATCACTTCCATCTGCTTCCCGATCTAAAATATCAAAAATTTCTTCTTGTAATTTTTCTCCTTGATGATAGCCAGAGGCCCAATTATTGCCAGCTCCACCACCATGTTTCGATAAATATATATTTTCTGGATTATAGAGCTAAATAGACATACAATTATTAAAATATAATCTTAAATATAAAAGTGTATAAATTATTTGAACTGATATTTTTCATAACTTACTTTTGAATATGGAGAATTCATGATGGTATGAATTACTCTAGGTTCTAAATCTAATAAAACGGCTCTTGGTATATAATGTTCATCATCTGATTGATAAAAAAAGACATCTTTTCGGTCAGTTCCATCTATGGCATAATCTTCTAAAATCCCTTCTGGGCTGATACCATGTTCTGCACATAATCTTTTCCAAAATTCAAAACCAACTGAAATAAAATATATACGAATTAATATAAAATTAATTTCTAATAAATATAATAAAGTTAATAAAAGATAAACACAAAGTTAAATTTTTAATAATTTTAGGTAAAAAGATTAATAAATGTTAAAGTTTACATAATATTAAAATAAAATCATTCTTATAAACGAAAGCTCATTCGCATAATATTTTGAAGATCATGTTAGAAGGTAATATTATTATAATGATATAAAAATAATAATTTATTATGTGAAATAATATATTTCTTACTTTGATTGCCACATTGGCCAAGTTGTAGTGTTATCATTTCACATGGCATTTTAATATTACAATAATTAACTTTCTATCACAATACGTCAAAATATATTTGAATCTTGTAATACTGATCAAAAAATAAACAGAACATACATTAAGTATATATAGAGAGGACAGTGTATAGATAGAATATTATCAATGGATAAATGTGTATTTATATTTAGAAGGATTTTATATGTAGGAATCTAAATTATCAACAGCGATCATTTGTTTTTAGATTTTAATGTCTTATATGAAAGAAATATACGGGAGATATATTAGACGTCAATTTAAAATTTGAAATACGTTATCATTTCACTAAGCTCTGTTTTTACTAATTTCATTTACTCGATCATTAAGGATCGATCTAGAAGCTCCTTGAAATAAAAAATAAAGAAGTTTATTAATTACTCTAAGATATCGTGCTATTAATATTAGATAATAGAAAAAAAACTAAGTTACTATAAATAATTTTTTCGTTATATTTTGTGAAAAAAGAATATCGAAAAGAACGTGAATAAGAAATACAAAAGAATATATTGTGAAAATACTTTTTAATGGATTTTCCATACATATACATTATGCAACTTTTTATTGACATAATTGCATATATATACATTGTCATTCGTATTATTGCCAGTGCTATCTTTGGAAGCAAACGATCAGAGCAACCTCTCATGGCGACCTCGTCGCGACTATTACGCCTCTTTCGGCAAGACATATAACTAACACATCTTGGCGCCATCAAATGTATACACCAGAAACTAACCAAACAAAGTAAAAGACAATAAAGATCCTGAAAACAAAGGAGACGATAAAGATGCCAAAAACACAAAGAAAATCATACATTCTTTCTTCGACTCTTCTAGAGACCACAGTCGTAACTGCTGGAAATCATAGTCTGATTATACCTACTGTATACCAAACATAGCTACATAAATATATCATAAATGTTACTTGATGTACAAAGTTCTTAATACATAGTGACATGTCAACGACATCTAGCGGCAGATTTCCAAATCTTTTTCCAACAACACAGGCGATATCTAACGATCGATTTTCCTATCATTTCTACTCATCATTCCTCCGCCATATTTCATTTAGAATCAGTCTATTCTATCTATTAACATAAAGACAGGTAAAAAGTTATTTAGTTTGTATAATTTATAAGTATCCCGTCATATTAGAAAGATTAAACATCGATATATTTTATTCCTCAGATTATATTCTTAAACATTATAGATAAATCGTTAATTTCTTATCTAGCAGTCTTTAATATTACATGTTTACTTTTAGTGATATATTGGAATTATTTTTATCGCAATATTGACGTTTGTAAGAATAACAAGAGAATTATAATATTAATTACTGGCTGTACGTCTGGCATTGGTAAGGAAACAACTAAGAATCTTGCTAAGAGAGGCGCCAAGCTGATCATGGTATTTAGAAATATTGTTTTAGCTAATAAAATTAAAGGTTTCCTTTTAATTATCTTTTATTATTTCATTAATTAGCTAAGGTATTCGATAAATTTGTAAATGATTGATTTAATCGAATGGTTTCTCGATAATTAATCTGTTGTTTAAATTCTATCGTAAAATCAACCAACTTTGAATATCAAATTTATATACCTTATTTATATAATATTTATGATTATTATGTGTAATTTATTTATATAATGTTTATTTATTCAAAATATATATATATATATATATATTTATTTATTATTAGCACTTTTGTCAATTACAAAGAAGATAATAAAAGAGAGATAATTGTAATATTAATGTAAGAATATAAATTTGCGATTCATTACGTCTTAAAATCGTGGAATTATTAATATTTTTGTTTTCGATTAAAAAAAAAAAAAAAAAAAAAAAAAAAAAAAAAAAAAAACGATGATGTTTTTCTCTCTTTTTTTTTCGAAATAATTTGTTGAATCCAATTATCTGTTCTTTTTTTAAGTATAGATTAATATGCATTACGTCGTTTTAATATTATTATCATTATTATTATTATTATTATTATTATTATTAAATTTCTTCCCTCATAAGTTCTCAAAAAAGAAGAATAATAAAGATATTATTTTCAGGAAATGATTTCATGAGTCCTATTATATATTGAACTTTTATGTATATATTAAGTCTAATATTATTATTATTATATATATCTTCTTTTTTCTCTCTCGTTTTGTAATATACTGTGTATTATTCAAATAGAAATTTTCTAAAAATATTCTATGAAATTTTTTGAGCATATAAAACAATAAAGAAAAATAATATCACGCTTTTAGAATTGTACATTTCGATCGACATTAAAGAAGTTTCACTTTTGGTGCACGTACTATATCATACGCTTTAAATTATCTTCGTTTCTTTTTGTAGAAAGTAAGTTTAACGAGAATCATCCAGAACTCTGTACTGGATAAGAATTTTTGAGAGATCAGTGAAAGAATGATTAAATTGCAATCAATCGATTCAAAAATATAAGACATGAAGTTAAGATATATTAAATCGTTCTTTTATTATTGTATTCAATCAAACAGTTTAAATAATTAATTTATAAATGTTATTAATACAAATAATAATAATTTGTTACGTGAAATGACATATTTCTTATTTTTATTATCACATTGTCCAAGTTGAAGTATTATTATTTTACACGATATTTTAATCTTACAATAATAATCTTTCAATTAAAATACATGAAAATAGATTTGAATCTTGTAATAATAATCAAAAAAAAAAAAAAGAAAAGATAAACAGAACACAAATTAAGTATATATAGAAAAGAAAATATATCGATTAAATATTATCAATGGATAAATGTATATTTTAACATTTGATTGAATTTTAAATGTAGAATTTTTAATTATTAACAATTGTAATTCGCATTTAAATTTTAGCGTCTTATATTAAAAAAAAAAAAAAAAATAAAGCTATTGACGCTAATTAGAATCTTGAAACTTTAATTATTATTTCGTTAAGTTCTGTTTTTATTAAATTCATTTATTGAAATAAAAGAAAGATGCGATATTTGATATATCTAGCAATTAATACAGATTTCATATCGGTCAATGATGCTGACATGCATTGAGACATAAAAATTATCTGTTGAGATAATTAATTAAGCTTGTCGTTATCGAAATGAGACAAAATTTATCGGAAAGATTATGAAGAATACGAAAATGTGTAACAATTTTCTACGATATATCATGAAAAATTAATTATTCAAGATCATACATAGTTAAGTATACTTCGTTATTAGTGAATGGAAGTTATTAAAAGGCAAAAGAATGAATGACATAGCAGATCAATGCGAGTATAAAAAAGATCAAAGCGATATTTCGAAAGAATTATGTGCCTGGATCGAAAGTATTCCTTTTACAAAACCTAAGAAGAATATATCTCCTCTGTCGTTATACAGAGATTTATCGGATGGCGGTATGAAAATCTAAATATATTAGATATATTAATATGTCGTTTAACACACATATATATATATATATATATATATATATATATATATATATTATAAAATCATTCTCATTAATAAATTGTCTTTATTTTTGTCGATCAGTTTTGTTAGCTGAAATTCTCAAGTATTATTATCCCCGTTACGTTGATCTTCATAATTACATACCTGCAAATAATTTTTTCTTGAAGAAAGATAATTGGAATACATTAAATCGTAAAGTATTAACGAAGATCGATATGAAATTGAATAAAGATGTTATAAGTTTACTCGCTAATTGTCATCAAGGAACAATAGAGAAGCTCCTTTTTGAGATCAAAAACAAAATCGAAAGAATCAATCATCAGGATGTTTTGTCGTTAAACGAAACGCGAAATGATGAGCTAGGTATTAAATATAAATCGACTTATTGGTTTTTCTTAACAAAAAATACTGATTCGTCATATTTTAACACAGTTAACAATGATAATGTTAAATTATCGGAAAATCTGAATAATCGGGATTCTATTGAAATGTTAACATCTAAGAATGCAAACATTAAAGAATTTTCTGTTTCTCGTCAGTTAAAGATAAATTGTATAAAGGGAGCGATATTTAACGCTACAAAATGGTTGTTTAGTTGGTTCTGCTTTTGGAATTTCTTTCTGAGTTATGGTAAATATCTAAACGCATATAATAATTAATTAATTTTTTTTCTCCTTTCTATTCCTAAATGATATTTTAATTGATATTTTAATTAATATTTTGACAATACTATTTTTTTTTTGTTCTTTTTGTGTAAAGGACGAAAGAATAATATAATAGAAGATATAAAAATCGAAGTTGATCAGAAAGACGAAGACGTACCACATCAAATTTGTATTCAATTGAAGCAAGAATTACGTGAGAAAGATAATCTAATATGTACTCTGAATCATAAAATCGCTTATCTGGAAGGAGCAATGAAGTTGAAAGATCTACGCATATCTGGTCTAACGTCACAAATAGTACAAAATGCTGTGGAAATGGATAACTTTGCTAAATGTCAAGGAAATGAGCATCAATTGAAAACACGTATACGTTTTTTCTCTAATAGTCACAAACATAACGAAAATGAAATCAACATGATGCTATAAATACACTTTGAGAGATATTTTTGATATATGATCTTCTGGAATGTAATTTTTTCGATCATTATCTTTCTTAATGTATAGCTAATATATCCGATAATATCTATATATGAGGAATGTATTAATAAGTGATTTCAAATTAATTTAATTTCGTGAAAGAAAGATATACAAGATAAGAAAAAATTCTATCAAGGTGAGTTTCAAGAGAAACTAATACTTGTATGTTGAAACTAATACGAGTACTTTATATCATATATTTTTAATGAGTCTTATGTGGTCTGATTTTTTCTCTTTTTAAATTGATAGATTTAAAAATATATCATGAATTAATTTCTTACTAAATAATACGTCTTCTTCGGATTCGTTTTTTTTTTCGAATTAAGAACATTGGTAAAGATGTCCTTTTCAAACTTAGAAAATACATATACAAGTTAATATATACATATAAACTTCTGTACACACGCACACATACCTTGTCCGATTTAAATACATACATGCAATTATTTTTCTGAGTATTAAAAATGTAAAAAAAAATTCAGGCCAATTTTATATTATCGTCAAATAGGGTACACATCTTAAATATGTCATGTTTTAATGTTGAAATATTTTTTATTTCCTTTGCATACATATTGTAATAGTTGAGGTCGATTTATTTTCAAAACACTATCTATAATAATGATTAGTATTAATGCACATGTTATTGATTTCACGTGATGGTTCACAATAGACTTGAATGTAATAGATGATGAGTCGAGAAAAAAAAAAGACTTTTCAATTTCTTTTATTGAAAAAACTAGTTAGATATGTTCTTGAATTAAAATGACGTTAGTTAAAGAAGAGAGGATCAGAATCTTATTTTCAGCAAGAAATTGTAAAGGACTTCAAAAAAAATTGTTACATTGCGATCAACTAATTCTAAAATCTAAGCAAAATTCTTATCTATAAATTCATGAAGCATCAAAATTAAGATTTCTTCACATAGTTGTGTTGATGTTTAGCTTTTTTATTATCTTTTTAGATACGTCATTTATATATCTTGATTCACAATCAAGGATAAAAGAATATATGTACAGTATAGTAATTCTATTCCTCTTTATTTCATAAAAAAAAAAAGTATATACGAAATACATTTCGTTAATTGCATTATGATATTATAGACAAAATTTTATTGACTTTTCTGATAATCGATGGAGTGAGATGTTGGTGGCAAAGGGAACAATCGTTCCCATACAGCCATTCTTTCGGGAAAGATACCTTGTTTCATAGTGGGATGTAAATCAATGTTTAAATATTTATCATTCTCCTTTGTGAATCTCTCCCATTTAACGTTGCTAAACATCTTATCATTGTTTGGAATGGGTTCACCGGTTTCTACGAAATTTGCCCACATTGCAGTGTAACGCTCAACCATTTGAATTTCTGGATCGGATGCGTTGAAGTAAGGGAAAACGGCACTCATGTAAAATAAGTATTGCAGATCATCGTGGTGTACAGGTGGTCCTAAAAAGACAATGAATGTCAATAATATTAATGATGTAATCAAATTGAATTGAAGATATATAGAAGTAGGTTTTATAAGGAAAAATTCCGAGCTCAGAAATCTTGATTTCTATAGAATTTTATCTCTGACTATTTATATTATTAAAATTGCAAGTGCTTCACTAATATATCTTTTTCCTGTAAGCCAATAAGATTTTAAATATAATGTAACTTTTACAGAAGAAACATTTCTCTATCTCTTTTACTAATTATATCGAAACAATGACAAATGCGTAAAATTTAATTAAGGTATAAATTTTCATAGAAGAAAATTATTTCTTATATAATTCAATGTGTTATAAAACTTTATGAAATTTTATAAAAGTCGGAATTTCTGAATTAGGAATGTTTCCATTTGTCAGCAGATTTTTTTACCGTATGGAGTTGTATCGTTCCACATGGCGAAACTGAAACGTCCTTCGTATGAAAATTTGTAGAAATAGACTGGAAGTTTACTATTATCAGCAATCAATTGAGCGGCACGATGCACTGGGAATATGATAATGCTATCAGCGTAGATCTAATTAAAAAGAAAATTTGTTAACTCTTAACGAATTGCCATCGATCGAACCGAAAAAATGAATTTTTATGATTCACTGACATTAGCTATTCCATTGTATGATTCTCGACTGATTGGTTGATCTCCGAAATAGAATTTTCGCAATTCTTGACTGATATGTTTGGAACGAGGTGTATCCCTTTCGTATATAAAACTGATGGGCGCAATGGTATCCCATCTTGTATTTAGATTATCAAATATCGAAGTATTTCCTGCTTTGAATAATCTCTCGATGCCTAAAACAGATGGAAATGATTGAGACAATTTGCTTTCGTTTATTATTTAATTTTAATGATTCAAAACATGATTTATATTTCTTTGAATTTCAAGGAAGAAATTATAGTGGGTATTAAATAAATAGTAAAGTGAAAATAATAATAATAAAAAAAAAAAAAGAAAAAAAAATTATCTTATCATGATTTTTTTACGAATTTTAACGAAAAAATAAATTGTATCAACATATTTTACATTAAATTACAAATATGTTGTAATTTTGTAATCACATGGATTTGAGGATTATTCTATAAATTAATGTATAGAATTTACTTACCTGTAACGACTCCACTAAATTCGCCTTCGGTGATACCAATGATGAGAGGAACTTCATGGATCTTGCCTTCTCTGATCAAATCGGCAGGTTGACCAGTTAAAAATCTTTCAACACCTTGTATTTCTGGCTCTACGACCCATTTCCATATCAAGATTGGATCACCATACCATTCCTAAATAAATAATTTAATCAATGGCCTCATTTTTATCAGGCTTATGTATTTAAGATAAGTAAAACTCACGAAAAATTGCGGCATAGTTTCAGTAAATCGTTCGATTGGTTTCGATTTTAGACAGATCAACATGGATCCTGTTGTGTCTGTTGGACAACCTAATAATTCTGCTTGTTTTTTGGCTAAATGTTTTTGCTCTGTTGGGATTGGTTCTAATAGTATATGAGAACCACTCATTGCAATTGCTTTGTGGAAAAGACCTTTTGACATTGGTGATAACATGTGTAATAACACAGAGATGCTTCCGACACTGTAACCACTAATAGTAACCGAGTTGGGGTCTCCTCCGAATGCTGCAATATTTCTCTGAATCCAACGAAGGGCTACGACTTGATCCTTCAAGCCCAAATTTCCTGGTGCAAGCGAATCTCCTGTACTTATGAAACCTAACGGAGAACAGAATGCGTATATTATTCTATATCATATCAACAGTCATCTGTTTATTTAAGAATTACAAACAAATTTCTACCTAAAGTTCCAAGCCGATAGTTCAATGTCACTAAGACGATGTCCTGATCCATGATATATTCAGGACCAAAAAATCGATATTGACCAGAAAAGATATAGAAGCCACCAGGATGGAAGAAGACCAAAACTGGACGTCCTTTGAAATTTTCATCTTTTGTATTTTTCGATGGTAACTACAAAGAAATTTATATTAATATGATTTGAAAAAGTTGTATCTATCTGTGTATATTTTTAGATATTTATCAAAGAAATTCCAGATTGTAAGAAACAAAATTGAATATTTTCTGATTTACTTTGGTCGTGTAGACGTTCAAACGTAAACAATCCTCGGATATAGGTGTCTTGCTTAAAGTACTACACGCAGGTCCTTCCTTTGTACCATCGTATGTATCATTCCAATCTTTTGCTGGTATGGCAATCTGGAAAAAAAAAGAAAGAATCAAGTTTGTAATTGCACTTCAACATTAGTTTTTTTCTTATCAATTGTTAAATATGAATGATACAACGCGTGTTTATTGACATTAATTTAATCATTATAATCATATATTTTAATCATGACGTAATAATCGTGTAACAATTAATACGTATAAAAAACACGGCGCAGATACATGTTATTGATCAATATCTATGCACATGTTATTGATTTCACGTGATGATTCATAACAGACTTGTATGTAATAGATGATGAGTCAAACAGAAAAGACTTTTAAATTCCTTTTAGCGGGAGGAGATATGTTCTTGAATTAAAATGATAACTCTCGTAGTTAAACGATTTTAATGAGTTGTTTAACGAGTTAATACTTTTTTCATTTACAAATCTATAAAGTTTCATGCGGAAGAAAAATAATCGTTATATAAAAACTCTGAAACTATCAATTCTGAAACTATTAAATAGATGAATAAAGTCTTTGATTAAATCAATGGTAATGATTATTGCGAAAGAAAAAGAAAATATAATTCTCACCTGAAATCTTTGTTGACCAACTGGAGGTTCGGCATACCTCACACTTCGAAACGAATAGATTTTTCTACCTAATCTCGATGTTAAGATCGATCCACGAATTTTTCCAATGGGTGCTTCTACTATTGGATTTTCCGATGTCGAATCATCCGCAATTGTAAAAACGAAAAACGCGCCCAAAACAATGAGCCCGATTGTTTTAAACATTTTTCTCAAAGGATTCTTTTTAATAGTTTTTCTTTATAAATGGCATACGTATTAATATCTTGCTATCTTGAGATGTTATATTTATACGTTATATTTGAAAGAACTTTGTCGTGCACGTTGAACGCGCTCGACAAAATATTGAGACACTCAAGGACAATGTGAAGCAATTTATATATTCCAACCAAGAGGAAAAAGACAGACTGGTGGGGAATAATGTTTTTCTTACCAAGAACTACGGCAGTATAATGAATTTACTCTCGTCTTCGTAAGGTCAATGTTATTTATGAAACGGACAAGATATTATATTTGAAGAATTCTTTTAGTTTTATTAAATATAATTTCATCGATTTTTCCTTAAGAAAAGAAAAAGATAATAAGAATAGTATACGACTAATTATGCATTTAAATCATGAAATAATAAATATTTATAAGTTCTCGAATAGTAGGAAAATAAATAGGTATTTTTTTCTTTCAATCATGTGATAAATACAATACGTTTTTTTTTATTTTTTTATACATTAGTTAATGTTCCTTACGTCATTCTAATACTATTATTAGATCTCCTCTCTTCTCCGTATTTCTTATTTTTATTTATTATTGTAGAGGACTTCAAAAAAAATTGTTACATTGCGATCAACTAATTCTAAAATCTAAGCAAAATTCTTATCTATAAATTCATGAAGCAACAAAATTAAGATTTCTTCACATAGTTGTGTTGATGTTTAGCTTTTTTATTATCTTTTTAGATACGTCATTTATATATCTTGATGCACAATCAAGGATAAAAGAATATATGTACAGTATAGTAATTCTATTCCTCTTTATTTCATAAAAAAAAAAGTATATACGTATACATATTCGAAATACATTTCGTTAATTGCATTATGATATTATAGTCAAAATTTTATTGACTTTTCTGATAATCGATGGAGTGAGACGGTGGTGGCAAAGGGAACAATCGTTCCCATAGAGCCATTCTTTCGGGAAAGATACCCTGTTTCATAGTGGGATGTAAATCAATGTTTAAATATTTATCATTCTCCTTTGTGAATCTCTCCCACTTAACGTTGTTAAACATCTTATCATTGTTCGGAATGGGTTCACCGGTTTCTACGAAATTTGCCCACATTGCAGTGTAACGTTCAACCATTTGAATTTCCGGATCGGATGCGTTGAAGTAAGGGAAAACGGCACTCATGTAAAATAAGTATTGCAGATCATCGTGGTGTACAGGTGTTCCTAAAAAGACAATGAATGTCAATAATATTAATGATGTAATCAAATTGAATTGAAGGTATATAGGAGTAGGTTTTATAAGGAAAAATTCCGAGCTCAAAAATCATGATTTCTATACAATTTTATCTCTGACTAATTTATGTTATTAAAATTGCAAGTGCTTTACTAATATATCTTTTTCCTGTAATCCAATAAGATTTCAAATATAATGTAACTTTTACAGAAGAAACATTTCTCTATCTCTTTTACTAGATATATATTGAAACAATGAAAAATTTGGTATATTTAAAAAGACGATTTCATCCCTTTTTTAATGTAAATTTGTATGAAAAATAATTGTCCCTTATATATGTGTTATACGTATTTATGAAGTTTTATTAAAAACAAAATTTCTGGATACCGTATGGAGTAGTATCGTTCCATGTAGAGAAACTGAAACGTCCGTCGTATGAAAATCTGTAGAAATAGACTGGAAGTTTACTATTATCAGCAATCAATCGTGCGGCACGAAGCACTGGGAATACGACAATACTATCGCTATTGATCTGAATAGAAAGAAATTTTGTTAATTTTTAGCAAATTGATATCGATCGAATGAGGAAAAGAATTTTGATGATTTACTCACCTGTCCTATTCCATCATATGATTCTCGACTGATCGGTTTATTTCCGAAATAGAATTGTCGTAATTCTTGACTGATATGTTTCGAACGAGGTGTATCTCTTTCGTACATAAAACTGATAGGCGCATAAGTATCCCACCTTGCATTTAGATCATCCAATATCGAAGTATTTCCTGCTTTTACTAATCTTTCGATAGCTAAAACAAATAATGGCGATAGCGTTAATTCAAACTTCAAAATTCATTTGTCTTTCTACGTTCTTTAATTTTAATAATTCAACGCATGATGTATTTACTCTTTTTTTTTTTTTATTTTCAATGAAAAAATTATACTAGGCATTAAATATATAGTAAGATGAAAATAATAAATAAAATTACATTGGTACAATTTCTTTTCTCATAAATTTTAACGAAAAACTGAATTGTTGGACGATAGATATTAAATTATTAATATATTATACTTCTGCAATAATATGCATTTGAGGATTATTCTAGAAATCTAACGTATAGAAATTATTTACCGGTAACCAATCCACCAAATTCGTCTTTGGTAGTACCAATAATGAGAGGGACTTCGTGAATTTTGCCTTCTCTGATCAAATCGATAGGTTGAGCAGTTAAAAATCTTTCAACACCCTGTATATCTGGCTCTACGACCACTGACCATACTGTCATCGGATTCCAATACCATTCCTTACAACAAATTCCTTAATCAGTGGTTTAATTTTTACCAGGCTTACGTATTTACGATAAATAAGACTTACGAAAAGTTGCGGCATAGTTTCAGTAAATCGTTCGATTGGTTTAGATTTTAAACAGATCAACATGGATCCTGTTGTGTCTGTTGGACAACCTAATAATTCTGCCTGTTTCTTGGCTATGTGTTTCTGTTCTGTCGGTAGTGGTTCTAATGCTATAGGAGAACCACTCATTGCAATTCCTCTGTGGAAGAGACCCTTTGACATTGGTGATAACATATGTAATAACACAGCTATGCTTCCGACACTGTAACCACCAATAGTAACCGAGTTGGGGTCTCCTCCGAATGCTGCAATATTTCTCTGAATCCAACGAAGGGCTACGACTTGATCCTTCAAGCCCAAATTTCCTGGTGCAAGCGAATCTCCTGTACTTATAAAACCTAACGGAGAACAGAATGCGTATATTATTCTATATCATATCAACAATCATCTGTTTATTTAAAAATTACAAACAAATTTCTACCTAAAGTTCCAAGCCGATAGTTCAATGTCACTAGGACGATGTCCTTATCCATGATATATTCAGGACCAAAAAATCGATATTGACCAGAAAAGAGGTAGAAGCCACCAGGATGGAAGAAGACCAGAACTGGACGTCCTTTGAAATTTCCATCTTTTGTATTTTTCGATGGTAACTATAAAGAAATTTATATTAATATGATTTGAAAAAGTTGTATTTATCTGTGTATATTTTTAGATATACGATTTATCAAAGAAATTCCGGATTGTAAGAAACAAAATTAAATTTCTGAATTACTTTAGTTGTGTAGACATTCAAACGTAAACAATCCTCGGATATAGATGTCTCGGTTATGGTACTACATGCAGGTCCTTCTTCAGTACCATCGTAGATTTCATTCCAATCTTTTGCTGGTATAGCAACCTAAGAAGAAAACAAGGATTCAAGATTGTATTAATACTTTAACATTTGTTTTGTCTTGTCAATCGTTATATATAATTGATACAGGACATATAATCACGACGTATAATGAATGATAATCGTTATAGACAGTATGGACATGTTATTGACTTCACATGGTGATTCACAAAAGACTTAAGTATAATAGGTGATGAGTCAAACTGTTTTGCACATAGAATAAACGTTCCAGTTTCCTTCAACGGAAGAAGTCATTAAATATGTTCTTGAATTATAATAACTCTTGGAATTAAATGATGGTTAATCATTTAATCTCTTCATAGTACAAAGTATATATAATTAATTGTGTATTAAAAAAAAAAAAAAAAAAAAAAAAAAATAAATCTTAGAATATAGTGATTAGTAAATTTACTGATTATGATGCAGTTAAATAGATAAATAATATCTCTGATAAAATCAATTTTTATTGTGAAAGAAAAAGAAAATATAATTCTCACCTGAAATCTTTGTTGACCGACTGGAGGTTCGGCATACCTCACACTTCGAAACGAATAGATTTTTCTACCCAATCTCGAAGTTAAGATCGATCCACGAATCTTTCCAATGGGTGCTTCTACTATTGGATTTTCCGATGTCGAATCATCCGCAATTGTAAAAACGAAAAACGCGCTCAAAACAATGAGCCCGATCGTTTTCAACATTTTTCTCGAAGGATTCTTTTTAATAGTTTTTCTTTATAAATAACATACGTATTAATATTGCTATATTGAGACGTTGTATCTAGATATTGAAAGAATTTTGTCGGACACGACGAATGCGCTAGAGGAAATATTGAGACGCTCAAGGGCAATGTAAAGCAATTTATACTCTCCATCCAAGAGGAAAAAGACAGACTGGTGGGGAATGATGATTACTTTACCAAGAATAATGGTAATATAGTGAATTTACTCACGCCTCACGAATTCACGATAATGTAATGAATTCACGGTCATCGGTGCTTTTGAAGTGATAGGGCATATTTGAAAAAATTCTTTTTTAGCCTTATTAAATATAATAATAACAGTTCATTGTTTTTTTTTTATGGTTTGCATCCATACGTGTTATGATTTAATGCAATGAAGTTTTATGACTTTCTCGTGGAGTCCTTCATGATTTTTTTTTTATGACAAATAACTTTACCATGAAAAGGATACAACAAGGAGATCCTGTCTTGGTGCAAAAGTTCAATGTAATTTAGGTAGTGTAAAAAAAAAAAAATAAAAAAAAAAAAAAGAAAAGAGAAGAAAAAAATTTATTTTCCAAATATGCAGGTACGTGTCTTTTGGAAATTGCATTAGTAATTGATTATTATGTAGGAAGAATTTGACGAGATAAAATTTTAACAGCGTCACGTGTTTTATTTATTTCAACGTGACATTGAAATATATTCTCTCGAAAAAAGATATCAGAATTTTCTCTATCTCTCTCTCTCTCTCTCTCTCTCTCTCTCTCTCTCTATCTCTTTCTCTTTTTCTCATTACAAAACGGATAATAGATAATACCTATTTTATATGTGGTATATATTTCAAATGTAGCAATATTTATAGCGGATAAAAACAAAAATTCCATTACGAAATTTTAGATCTATAATTAAATTTTTTATATATTCATTTGATCTTGAAAATAAATTGATTTGTATATGATAATATACAATAAATGACGATAAAATTGTTTATTATTTTTATTTTATTAATTGGAATATGGACATTTGTCTATTTACTAGTCTCTTCGATTCTATAATACGATAAAAAGTAAGATAATAAAGTCTATTCAATGAATCTGTTAAATATATCGTTATCGTGCTTTTAATGTCATTGCATAAGGTCATATGCTATGATGATTTATCTATTTGTCATGATGGAACGATATAGGCTATTTTTATCGAACAGTTTTATAACTGTATTGAATATTTTAATGTCTCTTTCTTTTCTTTTTTTTTCCCTTTGTTTATCTATGCCAATAGATAAAATTAAATCACAACATTAAATCTTCTGGGATAATCCTAAGGAAACAAGGAAAATAATATAATACTATAGAGAATTTCTTATTACGTGTCATATATGTATTCGTATATTAAAGAGATGTTATAATTCGTAAAAATATGCATGTATGTATATTAGATAAATATTACGTAATGTTATTACTAATAAGAAATGATAATTAGAATATTGGAATATTTTTTGCACGTTTCTAGAATTCATAGGAAAATAACACGATCTTATTACGTAATGTGAAAATATGGATCGTTAGATTAGAATGATTTATAGGATAAATATATTAAATTACACACAAATAAAATCTTTCCGTATATTTTAATATTTGATCTATGCGAGTCGATAAAATCTTATTAGACTGTAATTGCTTGTTTGCGATGTTTCTGTAAATGATATCTATTCCTCTTAACGAAAAAGTTCATCGATCATTTGAAAAAATATTTAATTTTCTTCATTTTCAGTTTCTTCAGGTTCAGTTTTTTCAGGTTCAGTTTCTTCAGGTTCAGTTTCTTCAGGTTCAGTTTCTTCAGGTTCAGTTTCTTCAGGTTCAGTTGTTGTAGGTTCAGTTACTTCAGGTTCAGTTACTGTAGGTTCCGGTTCCATTTTTTCATGTTTTTCAACAGTTTCGTCTTTATCAGTTTTTTCTTTCCTTTTATCAATCCTCTTTCTCTCTCTCATTTGTTTTCTCGCCAGTTTTGGATAAATACATGGGTCAATAGTCGGCTCATAAACGATCGGATCGATAGATCTTTCCTTCTTTTTCTTTTTCTCTTTCTTATCCTCTTTCTTCGGACATTCTCCCATTTTGTATGGTTTCGTTCTTGGCAAAACCTTTCCGTATATCTATAAAAAAAAAAAAAAATCGATATATTATTGAAAATATATTTTTCATTAACACATTATTAGATTCCAATAATAATCTATATATAATAATATAGCGATAATCAATTTACCGGTTTTATAAAAATTATTTGACCATATATATTCTTTTCACGAGGGGGAGGTTTTTCGATAGGATCCCGAGGCTGCTTCGGTTTCGCTAATTCATTGGTTCTGCCACTACTCGTTGCACTCAATGCACTCTTTTTCACGTCGAATGGATGCTCCTTTGTCATTAAATCCTTGTGTTCCTTGTGCTTGGCCAGCTCATTCGTTCGTGGCGAAGCTACGAGTAACGAATAAATAAACGATGTAAATTTGTCAATGGAATAAATAAATGAAAAATTGAATTTTTGTGCGAATTTCTTATGCCTTAGTATACCTTTGGCATTCAAGGCTGCTTTTTTAGTAAAAAATGCATCCTCGTACGTTTTACAGGGTAATGGGGCGTATCTCCATGCGTGCTTAATTTGTTTCCTTCTTCTCGCAGCTTCTTTTTTTTTTTTCTCATTTTTAGTATCCTCATCTTTTTTCTCGTCTCCTTCATCTTTCTCTTTTTCTTCATCTTCCTTCTTTTTCTTTTTCTTCTTCTCCTTTTTTTCCTTTTCTTCTATCCTCATTCTTTGTTCCTCGATAGCTTTCTTACCTCTTACCTCGTAATTCTCCAAAAACATTTTCTTCCATTTCTTAGCATCTTCGTCGTCTCGAAATTTTAATATTGTGTAACCTGGCAAAGCCAGAATCTCCATCCACGGTGTGATCTAACAAATTTAGAAATTTAGAAAGTAGACGTATATTTCAATTATGTATTAGATATTTTTTTCTTTTTAAATCCTTTTTTTTTTCAATTTTTTTTTTTTGTTTCTTTTTCATAAAAAAAAAGATTCACTTACAATCTCGATTTAGCATTGCAATGGACAATGACATTAGTATTAAAAATTAACAAGATTTTATAAAATCATTTATAAATTTAAAAGTAAGAGAATGAAAATTCATTTTCAAATAAATCACAGATGACCATCGTACAAATTTTCTAATAGAAATGAATTGTTAAATTAAAAACAATAAATACCTCGTACGTTAATGCACTTTTTCTAATCCCAACATCTGTGAAGAGTTCCCTTTTTTCCTCATCGGTCAAACCTTCCGGACACTCAATCAATTTTTTCTTAAGCTTCAATAATCTTTTTCTCGCCTGACGTTTATTTTTTGTATCACTTGGTATATCCACAGGCTTACATTCCTCGGGTTCGAAAATTTTTGGTTGACTCAAATTTTGTATCCTCTTACTTGGAATATATTGCAGAGTGGCTTTGTATATTACGGTAGGCAATTCACGGCCATAATCGCATGTACGTAACTTTGGTAATGACAATTTCAAAAGTCGTTTCGTTGTTACTGCATTCAAAGCTGCTCTTGAAATTTCCGTTTCGACTGGCTTACAATATTTACTCGGATCACCACGTTTTGGATTCTCGCTCAATAGTTTAATCCTCCTTCTCAACAAATGCAATGGTTTTGACGGTCGAATCTGATAAGGAAGAAAACGAGAAAGAGAGAAAGAGAAAAGGAGAGAGAGAGAGAGAGAGAGAGAGAGAGAAAATATACATAATTATTCGTAAAATATTATTAAGAGGATACAACTTACAATCGGTTCTGGTTCTGGATACTTTCGTGGTTGTGCTTTTATTTGTGCCCAAGCATAAAATTGAGCCCAATCGGCTGGTGTTTTTAACCATGTTTTTACTGGTTTTTTACGTCGTTTTTTTCTATAATCATGATAATTAAATTTAACCCATTGAATTGTACGCGTTACACGTTAAAGATAATTTTAACATTACTTGCTTACGATGAATATTATGATGGACTGTTATTTATAAATATTAATGTTAATTGATTTAATTGAAATTTTGTAATAAAACATAATAAAATAATAATATATAAAGATTATGTCGGTCTTTGTTAGCATATTTTAGAAATTTATTTTATTGATTGTAAATATTTGTAAAGTGTAGAAATACGTTTTATAAGTATACGGATGATATACATGATAATTGTTAAAATTTTCGATTTTTTCATAAAAATTAGTTACGTATTCTTAACTCAATTTCAAGATAAAGTAATTTCTTGGGATATGAATTTATAAAGAAAAAAAGAAAATAAAAAAATAAAAAAAAATAATAAAAATAAAAACATATCGGGAAATATGAGCACAAGCAAATAATTTTTTTGAGATAACGAAAAAAGAAAAAATATTAAAAATTTTCGATAAAACAATAACAAAAAATGATGTCTATTAAAGAAGTTGTAACATTGATACATATTATCTTTATTTGTTATGTTTCAATATGATGCATCACAAGTAAAATATATTTATTTAAGATGTATTTAAAAGTAATAGCATATTTTTATCTGCAAGTAAAAATTTATTTGTCGACTCACTTTGGAGTAACTGCTTTCGGCTTCATTATTTTATTACTCTTAGAAGCGATACCAGCATGTTTAACATCGCGTACATCCCTTTTAGATTTAATTGGGTCCCTTTTAGAGGTAATTGTGTCCTTTATAGGATGAATTGCACTTTTAGGAAGTTTATCATCTGGCGTATGTGATACTGTTGGTCTAGTTGGTACTCTCGAAGGCATTATAATGATTAATTCTAATTCTTTCAAACACTAATCACCGTGTAATATCAATGGTAAAAGTTAGGTTATTAGTTTTATCCTGATGATGTTTTTCGGCATTTGAATTATAAAGTTATAATTTATATGCGACATGATTTCTTTTCTTTATTATCCGAATGAAGAATTTTGTTGTTAAAAATTTTAATGATTGTTTTCCGAAAGGCAAAGATCGAAACGTGAATTTTTTCTACTACGCCATAATTTTATAGTAGTCGATTGTTCAATCTACGAGTTAACTCGATTATTAACAATAAATTTTATTAAATATTAATGTTTTGAATAAAGAACTTGTTAGAATTACTTAGATAAATGTATAATCAATCGATACATATTTTGTGCATATACAATTTTTTTTTTTATATTTCTTTATACTTTATACTTTAGATAAAAAAATCGAAATGTCATTTTAGTTTAAATATGTACTTTTTAATACGTATATATATAATTTACTATATTGGAATACAAAGTTGTAAAATTGTTCAATAACGTATGTGTTTTATATACTGCGAGTAAATGTTTTAAATCAGTAAAAAATTTATTTGATGCCTATTTTTTATTTGACAGATCTTCCGAAATTTTTGGAAGTATGTGTTAACATTTTCGAAGAAGAAGAAGAAGACAAAGTAAAGCAAATGTCAGAAGAATTTTACTATCTTTTTTGTTGACCCCCAAAAGTTGAATTGATTTTTGGTGCGAAGGTTTTTACTGGGTTGTAATAATTTTTATCAAAATTTTCATAAGCATTGTCGTTACTTATGGAATTCCTCTTGGATTTAGATAAATCCAGCAAACGTGTTGGATACCGTCTGTTTCTTGTCGCAGTTATACGAGCGTAAGAATCCAAAAGATTTTTTTTCTTTCCAAAATTTTCAATATTTCTCGATTCTTCGCTACTGTTTATCAGCTTCCTTTTCATCGATTTCTCTAAGAGAAGGAAAAGTAATCAAAATCGATTTTGTCTGTTTGAATCATATATTTCGCAATTTTCATGAATTATTCGAAATATCATTCGAAATGACAAAAGGAAATTTTTTAATTTAATTTAAATAAATTTCTTTAATTTGAAAGAAAACCTGTGCTTTGAGATGAGGAATTAATCGTTCGGGCTGAAGAACTAGGATAATCGTAAACATTTAAATCATGTCTTCGTTTAGGTTGAGCAAGTTTGTTCAACGTGTCCGTTATCTGATAAGACAAGGCCGAAGGTTTTATCTGAAATATCGTTTACCTCGTATATGTTCCTTTTTATTTTTTCTCTTTTCTTTATTCTTTTTAATTTTTATTTACCCATATATATATATATATATATATATATATATATATATATATATATATATAAAATAGGTATACATACTTTATAAGGATTAACGTTGCTAATCCTATCGATTTTTATTTTCGGTTTTGCTAACTTCTCGTATCTTGGTGTCTTTTGGGTGGAATCATTAGTACTCATGTCTAATCCTATATATTTTTTTAATGGGCTTGTGTTAAATTCAAAAAAGTTTTTTTTTCTGTTTAGAAGTGTAAATTGCGAGACTTGTAAATTTTAGAGTTTGTGTTAGGGTTAAATTTGGATGTTGTGAGTGAAGGTGGAGAGATTGATTTGACGGAAACAAATTAATATCGTCTTCTTTAACAGTGTTCACTCTTTATTCGTATAGTGCAGTACATACTTCATGATTATGGCTCATGATCTTTTCAATTCTTATATGTAAATTTATATATCACTCATGTGATATCGTTTTCAAATACAATTAAGTCATTCAGTCATTTACTTTAATACGATTTCGTACATTGATTTTTATAGGCTAAGATAATTATGAAATGTGGAAACAAAGAAAATCTTCTAAATCATGTTGGTGCTTACCTAGAAAAGTGATAAACATATATTCGGAAAACGAATCGTCTGTTGAAAAAATAGTAAAAAGTAAAAAAAAAAGGAAAGTCAAGTCTTCGTTTCGTACAGTAATTTAAATCATCATAATTATATTATCTGCTAAGAATTGTCATGGATGAAAAATTTTATTTGAAAATATTATCAAATGTTATTTGCGATCACGGCGAACAATAACTTTTGTAATTTTTATTTGATATTGATAAATAATATTAAAATATTTTATTGAATTTGTTCGATCTTTATTAATATTTAAAAATAAAAAAAATATACTGTTGTAAAATTTCATCCATGATTTCGTGATTAAAGTAAAACGAGATAGTTTAATAGTTTTTTGAATGATAGCAGAAACGTCATAAAAATAAAAATGTAAAAGAGGTAATAAAACATATGAATAAAATTCAACGATTAGCTCAACCTAAGATTATTACGAAATTATCAAAGCAAGAATGGAATTCGATTGCGTTTGGAAAAACGAAAAAACGGACTTCAACTCCGACAGGTTTTCTTTAATATATTTTCATTCGAACGATTAATTCACTTGCTTGATTTAATAAGCGAATCGATTTTTTTTATAGTATCGAAAAGAGTGATGAAATTGGCACTACCAAAAAATTTAATTACTTCGAATAATTTTTCAAGAGATCCTTTTAAAGTAAGTCCGTCAGCTTTGAAGGCCACTTGTTCGCCCCGAATTAAATTGCTCGCTAAACCAAAATATTTAGAAAATTTTTTCATTAAAGCACATAATAACGTTAATTCTTAATTTCATTCTATTATAAATAACATCGATATAAATAATTTACTGTAAAACTATTAAAAAAGAAAATAATAAAATGTGATATTTATATAATAATTATTATCGTTATTATGATTTTAGTTGTAGTGATTTTGGATTTAGGCCAGAGTATTTGGAAAAAAAAAACAATTGCTATTATTAATAAAAAAATATAAACAATTTCTCTATTATTCTTCCGAGATATAGATAACTTCTTCTCGTCTGTATATTCGCTTGACTTTTGTCGATAAAATTACTCGACAAAATTTATTCGATAAAATTACTCAATTACTCTGCTCAACTCTGATCTACTCTGTTGTACTCTGTTCTCTATTCTGATTTACTCTGTTGTCTACTTACTTATGCCTAATTTTTATATCGATTATAATCTCTTTCTTTTACTAATTCATTATCACTTTCTTTCATTCAAGTATATCTTTTATAAATTACATTTAGACAAAACGCATTCAGAAAAATCCTAAATGTCACCTAATCTCTTTATGTACATGCATATACATGCATATATATTCATTTCTATCGTTTATATACTTTAAACTCATATATCGCTCGTATCGCTTATATTTCCAAGATTATATTCCTTTTTTATAAATTCTATTGGACACTCATACATACATGAATATTTTTCTAATCCTGCAGTAATAAGAAAGATTATATCAATAATGATGATTTACGATAATCAATATACAGGACACTTTATGATATTATATCGATTATTGTAATAGAAATTCATATATATATATATATATATATATATATATATATATATATATATATATATTAATAAATAAAAATAAACATGTTCGATTAGAGTGAAACAATCGAATGATAAATCTGAACTCTGACAGATTAAACACTTCTCAAATTCTTAACAACTGTCACACATGCCCAAATTTTACAGTATAAGATAAATATAATCAAACAAAAAAAAAAAAAGGATTTACTTTAATTAAAAATGGATTTTTCAAATTAACAAGTAAAACTTCAAAAAAATTCTCGGCAAATGCAAAAATGGATCGTCATGTAACCATCAAAATGTCTCGAATTTCTATAAAATCCAAGGAATCAGATGGTCGATTATTGCGTCGGAAAAAGTAAATTTAAAATCAAGATTAAATTCAAAAAATATTATTTCGCCCAATTAATAATATCTTTCAATTTTAAAGAAAAGTAACGGAAACCATGAAAATCTTGAAACCAATCAACTTTTGTTGTACAATGGAAGACATCGATTCTATGTTTAAATATGATCAACGTAAACCACCTTATACGTCTTCTTTGACCGCAATAAGTTTGTTACAAGAATCTCCAGCAATAAAATTACGCACACAATATGTTAATCGCTTGAACGCATTGTCAAGAAGATCAACGATGAGAGGCAAGGATATACAGTTCGCTCGAATGAAATCTGAAAATCTTGGTATTTCTTCGATCATTGGATCAAATCAGTGGTACATAGAAGATGAGATTGCTTTAGCCAAAGATATCTTATGGGAAGATAGATTACGTAAGAGCGACGAGGAAACTCGACGAAATGTTCGTATTGGAAAAGAAAAAAGTATGAAACTGACGATTGTATTTAATTTTGATTTCATATTTTAAAAAGGGATATATATATATATTTTTTATTTTATTTATTAGTGGAAAATAAATTGAAACAAATAAAAAGTGTTACTGGACCACGATGGTATCAAGATTTCTCAATAGATCAGGTAACTTCGAAATTCATTACAAATGTATAACATAAAATGAATTTTTAATTAGAAAGGTCATTTGTAAATTGTTAGATGAAAAATCTAATGATATTGGAAGATATGATAATGGCTGATTACAAACAAATGGAAACTGTTCGTACTAAGAAAACGCTTATGGACATAGGAGTATTATCGACATTTTTTCAAATGGATACAAAAAATATCAGAAAAATGCAACGATTGTGTGACTTCAAGGCGATTGATTTTTTACGAGAAATTTACAGATTACTTACTGGAAATTATTTCGAAGAGGAAGGCTACAGTTCGTTTCATCAATTTATCTTATTAATATAAAATTTATATACAGAATGAATCTAAATTCAATCGACAAATTATATATGTTGATTGATAGGAGACGTCATTAGAAGTATTATCTTTTCAAATAGTAAATAAGATGATAAAAATCCTTTATTTTATATTTAGCAACAAGGATGCAAAAATGTTTCAAAAAGAAACATCCGATAATAAAATTTCTTTCTTTAGGATGATATATGCTCGTACTTTATCTTAACTTAATATTAAAATGTAAGGAAATTTATTGAGAAATCTCTTATTAGAACGGTCCAATGATTTGGAATATTATAGTATATCTTGTGAGTACAAAGTATGAAATATTTTTTCATATGATTAGAAATGGCATTTATATAGAATATATAGTTTTCAAATAAAAATAATTAATATCTTATATCTTGTGAAAAATTGCTTTCTGGCTATTGGTTTTCTATCTCATATTGTTTAATTATCTGTCCTTTGTATGTACAAGAGATTTGTCGAAGATTGAATTTAGATTTTGTATCATGTATAATTTTGATAAAAATTTAATTTTTATTTCCAGAGAATAATTATGATTGCAACGAGAGAATCATTTTATCCGCCATTGCTTTCTTGTCATTGCCAGAAACGATTATCGAATTAAATAAAAGATTACCTTCTGTTATTATGCCAAAAATTCCTTCGAAACGTAACGACATTATTGTCTTTTCTTTTTTTCTCTCTCTTTTTTTTTCTTCTTCTTTGTTTTTCTTTTATCAATCTTATTAAATTTTGTAGCTCTTCCAATGAAGGTTCTACCAAGAAAAAAAGCAAGTTCACCGTATAAGGAAGAACTCTTTACACGTCCAGATTGGGTAACTTACTTGAATCGTTTGGAAAGTTGGCGAAAATATTGTAAATCGATAGCAATGCCAAAAGTGATCCTACCTGATCCAAGTTGTCCAATATTTACTTACAAAGAAGAGTTGCGAAACGTCGAAATAAATCATAAAATTATTAAAAACGATCTTTTGAAAAATAATTCGAAGAAAGAAGGTAGTAAATATCAATGCAATCGTAATTAGTTAAGATATATTATCATTGAGTTCCTAGGTTCAGCGAAACGCGAAGATAAAGTAATGGAACTTAATGAAAATATGAAAATTCGTGGATCTATTAAAAAACGTCTTAGTGTTGATAAATCTGATATCTTTAAATCGCCCGAGGAAAATCAAGTTTTCGATTTCACATTTTCCGGATTGAGCGAAAATCAAACTGATCCAGTACAATATAAGATTTGTGGTATACACGTTAGAACACGTTTGATTAAATTATTATTTTAGAAAGATTTGTAGGATTATCTTTTCTCTTTCTCTCTCTTTCTCTTTTTTTTCTTTATTTTATTTTCCTATTCAGGAACACTTAATCCACCTCGGGAAAATAAAAAATCCTGGCTGGGAGAAAAGGATGCACATTTTATTATAAGCGGTGTCTCGGATGAACCACCTCAGTGTCCTGTTTCTTTTGAGATGACAGGAGTGGCCAATGTTACGCCAATAAATAGCGACGAGAGATTCTTCACAGTGTTGAAACTTGGCGATGGCCCTAATAAGATTTATCCGAGTGGTCGAAAAAATCTTTCCAAGAACTGGCAAGAATGGTTACACAATGCAGACGAAGAATTTATAAAAGTAGAGAAGGAAGCAAACAAGATATTAAAAAACGTTGAGGCTACGATGAGACTCGTTTTTCCAGGACCAATATGTGATAGTTGTTGTTCTTGCAGGCAAACCAGAAAGACTAATATCATAAGTAAAAAAACGAAGGCACCTTATATGGTCATTGATAGTTTAACCGAAGACGATCGAAAACAAAAGTGATTGGAAATGAAATATTTCTTTTGATTTGATACAAAACTCCTATTCTGCGTCTCATAATAATTTTAAATTATATTAATAATTATTTATTTAATAATTTAATATTAAAACAAATTTAAGGATAAAATGTAAAATTGATGAAATTTATAACGATATATTTTTTAACAACAGATACATAGTCGGATCAATGGCACTTCATTCACCAGCGCTTACACCTGATCAATCTACGGTAAATTTAATCGATGTCATTGCTTCCGAGGATAAAATTACTACGAACGTTGTTATAAATGGTGTTACTACTGCGAAAGGCGAGAAAAAATATTATATAACTGGTATGGCGAAAGATACTATTCATATTCCTTCAAAAAAGGTCGAATCATCTCCACCATTGCTAATTAAAAATATTCCACCGTGTACATGTGCCATTCAACAAATGTTCAATCAAAATATGATTCCAAGATTGAGTACCGACAACATCCCATGGACCAAAAAGGAAGGTTTATGTTTAGGAAAAAAATATAGACCAGAAACAATTTCAGCTTATTCTTGTAAAGTCTATCCAGGTGATAAATCCTGTAGATTGAATCCCTTTCTCAAGGAAGTTGCTAGATTAGAAAGAAAAAAGAATAAAAAGGAAAAGTCTGAAGATGATTATCATTCGAAGAAGAAAAGAAGAATGTATAGTATCGCTGATTTTCAACCTTGCGGTGATGAACATGGCATGCATACCTGTGACGGTCCATGGGGTACTCTTAACATTTTAACTCCCGAGGAACTGAAGGAACAGGAAAAAGAACGAAAAGAGATTTTGAGGGTACATGGTTTTTCTTCTTCTTCTTTTTTTTTCTTTTTTTTTTTTTTTATCGGAAAAAATATTCGATTTCTAATCAGACATATAGAATAAAATTTTGATCACTGTTGATGTAAATTCGATGTGTAGATACGATGAATTATCTTGTTTGTTTCTTCTTTTTTTTTTTTGTTTTTCTTTTAGGGCCCACCATGCGGAATAAAACCAGGACGTGCTGTTTGCGAAGGACCTTTTGGTGAGAGAATACCACGTCCAAAAAGGTCCAGGCCAACAGACGACGAGGAAGAAATAGAGGAAGAGGAAGAAGAAGAGGAAGAAGAAAAAAGAGAAATAAAAAAGTCTGTTCCAATGAAAAAGGAGAAAATTCTACGACGTGACAAACTCTGTCACGCTAGTCCAGAAACCATGGCAGCTGAGAAAAAGACTGTTGAAAAAAAAGTTACCAAATTTATACCTGATCCAGATTATCATGGTTACGATGATCCATGGAATATTTCTCGTACTGCACCATCGGTCAAGGAAACTATTACGGAATATGAAAAAACTTTAAAACTTTCAACTCCTAAACCAAGATCGGATCCATCTGAACCTATTATTGAAGTTTTGAAGAAGAAAAAGAGTAAAAAATCTGAAATTCTTAAATCATCGAAAGATAGTTCGTTGAAAACCTTGTCCGACAAACATAAAGTTTTGTCTACAAAAATACATTCGGATAAGATTAAGAACGAAACTAAGAGTAAAAAGAAACCCGTAGTAAGTATCAAAAAAAGATTAGACGTTATTGAAACCTCGAAGAAGCATTTGCGAAGAAGAATGTCCTCTTTGCCGTTCAAAAGGAAAAGAACGAATTCCTTTTCGAAGAGAGGATTTTTACAAAAAGAGAAAATTAAAAGAACAAATGATACTCATAAAAATAAACAAGATACGAAATCAATTGTGAAAATGAAAGAGAAGAATGAAAGATCGCCGCAGATGACAAAAAAATTTATTAAAAATAATGGCGAGAAAAGAAAATTTAAAAATAAATTAAAATCGTATCCAAATAATTCAATGATTGAATGTAAAAAATCTTTTAAAAACAATCCACGAAGTTCTTACGAACAAAAGCTAGAGAAAGGTGAGAAAAAACAAAATAAGAGAAATACGAACGAAAGTATGATTAGAAAAATTTCAAGAGATCATCCTGCAATAGATTTGAAAAATAAAAGTATATCTAATTCTCAGGAATTCACAAAATTTAGCGAGAAGAAATCAAAAAAAAAGAAATCGTCAATGAAGGAGGTTGGCGTTGCCCTTACAACGGAATATCTCGATAAAGAAATGAAAAGATTGAAGAGCATGATGGTATCACCTGATATCCATTTCAATGACGTTCAGCCAATTATTCTTCCTGAAGAACCAGCATCGTATTGTCAACATGAATATGGTGACACTTTGCAAAAGGATTCAACTTTTGATGAAACCATTAGCAAAGAGAAGATCTCAAAAAAAGGTCCATGCGGTTGGAGGACGAAATCGGAACAGGAATTGCCTGTTAAAAAGACTTTGGCCTATTTGACTGATCCTGATCCACCAATCGAGATGGTTCCTGTGAGACCAGGTGGAAAGGCTTGTATTTGTCGTGAAAATAGGAATAAGAAAAAAATTCTGATGTATCAGATTGGTGGATCAGTTGAGAATAAAAAAATTGAATTGAATAAAGTCGGTAGAACTAGCGTTGGAAGGGTTAGCATGAAAAAGAAAGAAAAAAAGGAGGAACATGATGAAACTCGAGTAATAGAGGGTGTTATTTATTATACACCACCGCCAAGTCGAAGAAGAAGCGACGAGTATGTTCCCGAATACGATGTTTATGAATCACCTTATGAAATATGTGTTTATCGACCCAAGAACAGTTTTATGAATATGTTAGAAAAATACATGACACCTCCTGGCATTATATCGAAGACACGAAATAACATTAAACCATGCGATTGTAGTGATTATTTAGATATTTATGGTGTAGCCGGTGAACATGCTGAAATAGAAGAGTCCAAAAGATTACTTGAGGAAAGAGAAAAATTGATGGAATCGAAATCACCAAAGGAACGTTGGGCTCTAGCTCTGAAGGACAATGGTTTAATGGATTATTATGCCGGTTGTAAACACAAAGTACCATGTTGGTCGACGTGTGCCAGATTAAATAAATATGCCTGTCCTCCGAAGCCGCCAAGATTAAAAATTAAAAAGCCTGTATGCGAGTGTAAGTACGAAAGAAAGATAGTAGAGAATAAAGAAGAAAAGATCAAGTGGAAGGAACGTCAAAATAAACTAAGAAACTTCAAGAAGAAAGCTTATACAAATGTGAAGAATATTTCGAGACCTATGAAAGCTGACACAAAAATGATTATATCTGATGTTAAGAGAATTCCTCGTGAAGATGAATACATAGACGACGTACAATATTGTATATCGGGTATAATAGAAAATTATACTATGGATCCAAAAGCAACAACAGTTGTGGAAGGTTTAAACATGGCCACACCAATACATACACCAAAACCAAGCAAGGAAGATATACCATGTGTTTGTTTGCATAGTCATTGGTCACCAACGAATATATCACCTGGACCATTACCTAGAAAAGATCAAGCATTGATAGAAGAAAGAAAACGTAGAGATAAGTACTTGGAAGAGGCAGCACGAATAATTTATGGTCCTAACGATGAAGAAAATAAATCTGAAAAATGTTATCGCGATTGTAAAACCAATTGCATTGACAAACGAAAGAAAGATGATAAGGATGAAAATATAAATGAAAAAAATGAAAATGATTTGATTAATCCAATAAAACATAATATATGTAAATCTAAAGACGAACAAAAAAATTTCAATCGTAATACGAAGATTGTAAAAAAAATAAAAGAACAATCAGGTAAGATCGAAAATCATAATCAAGGGAGAACGACGATGACAGAGAAAAAGGTGCAGAAAGAGACGGATAAAAATAAAAAGTTATCTATAACAAAAACTATAACAGAATCAAAAGTTGACAAAGATCAAGGAGATAAGAATCTTTATCAAGACAATGTTGATTTGGGAGACTTAATAAAAGTACGAATAAACATTTACAATTTGATTGTTCGGATTAGATTAAAATGATGATAAAACGATTTCTTCTATTTTTTTCTTCTTTTTTTTTTCTTTTTTTTTCTTTTTTTTTTCTTTTTTTACAGAAAGAATTGAAATCAATGGCAACAGAGGGATTTCTTTTTGCCAAATTACCAAAATGTCATCGGATGCCACAAATTCAGAATTGGATTATGTATAGAAAAGGATTCGTTTTTACCGACAAAGAAAAAGGTCATTTATGTTTTTCACATTATTCTTAGATAAGTTCTTCATAAATAATTTATAAATCTTATATCGAATATTAACAATATATTATATTGTAGAGGAATTAATGATCCTGACGTTTATGGTTTGGGCGATGGCTGATCTAATTAAACAACCGGATATTATGGTTCCGTCCTTGGATATGTCCAAGAAAGAAATTCGAGAATTAACATTCGATCGAGTTGAAGAAATGAAGAAAAAAGTATATAATAAATAATAATTAAAAGAAAATTACATTCAATTCTAATCCATTTGTTTTATTTTCGATAGATCGCTATGAAAAATGCCATATTCTACAGTCGTTTACGAAAAATGCGTGTATTATATAGCCAGTATATGTGGAGTACCATGGAATTTCGAAAGCATCCATCTTTGTCATTTAAAAGAGCTTATTTCACTTATATGGCTTCAAAGGAAGCTGATGGACACGTTTTTAAACCTTGGATGATAAATGAAGTTCGTCAAAAAGATTAGTTTATATTGCTCATACATTGTTTCTTATTAAAATTCTATTATCCTGCGAAGTTCTTAATGTTTATCAAAATTATGACATAAATATATTTAATTAAAACCCTGAGAAATAAAAATATAAGGACAAATAAAAAAGCGAAGAAAAAATTAAAGAGAAAGAACACCTTATATTATATTTTTCCAAATCGCTATTCTGTACAAACATTGCTATTGCGATCTCGAAGAAGTAAAAAAGAAAAAAAAAAAGAAATGCATAAGATAACAAAATTAAATAAATACAAATAAGTGAAAACTAAGTATGGCTAAGTAAATAAAGTGCATAAACGTAAGAGATCTGATATATATATATATATATATATATATATATATATATATATATATATATCAGGGATTATCTCTTTGTTGTAGAGGTATTGTGTTTCCTTATCGAACAATTTGAATTCTTTAAAAAATAATACATATACGATACAATCAGAAGTCTTTTATGATAAACTTGTTAAAATTATTCATTATCAATATAAAAGATAATTTCTTTTTCTATTTTATTTTCTATATTATATATCTCGATTGAAGGTTCATATATATTAATTATTACGAAATATTACTTTAATTATTTACTAATTAACTGATATATATAATTATCTAATTAGTAATATTTAGTAATAATTAATATAATAGTTATGTACCTCTATCCCTTCTTAAATTTAATTAATAATATAGCGAGAGTAAGGAAGATAGTAATCCAGATAAAAGTGGCAATAAAACCATTGTAGACTGAAGACTGTGATATACTCCAGCCTCTAGCTAACATAGTTCTCATTGATTCGGTACTCTTCGTTAATGGAAGAATAAAACTGATATAACTAAGAGCAGGATGCATTCCTTCGACTGGCCAAATTATTCCACATAACATAACTATCGGTAAGAAGGATCCCATTGCAACGTAAGTTGCACTTCTTTCATTTTCACAGAAACAAGCTATAACAAATCCTACAAACATAAATCAAATAAGATTGAGAGTGAAGAAATGAATCAGAAAGAATATATATATATATATATATATATATATGTTTTAATCGTAAATATATATACCAAAACACATTCCACATAATCCTGTGAGTATAGTTAACAATAAAACCCAGCCGATATTACCCTCGCAAGTAACTTTGAACACAGCGAAGCTGAAAATCAATACCATTAGAGTTTGTCCAGTCATTACCACGAATTGCGTTATCACTTGACCAAATAATATCTCAGGACCAGTTATACCTACGGAAAAATTATTAGTTAATATTTTGATATATCAATCGAAATTGATTGTCGTTTAAATAATGAAATTTACCAGACACCAAACTTCTCTCCAATAAACCTTCGTTCCTTTCTAGTAACATTGCTCCGGATGTGATAGCAACCGATAGGAAAAAGATAATACTAAAAAATAATTATAACAATTTTTTTCGTTTCTTTAAACGATATTGATATCTTTTATGCGCGTATACATACACACGCGCGCGTACACACAGACACATATAATTCGAAGACTTACGTCAAAATAATTCCTGGTGCTGCAAAGTCAGTGAAATTTGGATTCAGTGGTCCATAGATCGGTGTTCTAAACTGCATGATGAAATTAAAAGATTAAAGATGAATGATATAATTTTAATTAATCGATAATTATATGTATCTATCAACTTACATCTAAAGGTATGCTAGTCAATTTTTCACTGTAGTTACATGCAACAGTAACGTCACGAGCAAAATCGAAATAAGAATACAGGATACTCCTTTGCAAGAGTTGGCCGATTTGTTGATCTAAAAAAGAAAAAAAAATGGAAAGAAAAAAGAAGAAATGAGAAGAATTTTTAAAGCAAACAAAGAATTGTTAATATACGAAAATTACTCGACATATCCATAATGATGTTCATCGATGAGTATACAAGATCCCAATCTTCCACATCTTTGCCATATTTTATCCTTGTAATTAGAGCTTCCGTGTAATTTTCTGGAAATGATATAACACCCCAAACCAAGCCCTTTTGTACGGCATACTCGGCTTCTTCTTCAGTTTCATAAGGTAAAAAGATCACAGATCTATTCTTTAAATGATCCAAGAATCGACAACTCAGTTGTGAGGTATCACAGCCAAACGTTGGTATACACATGTCCGTACTATTCTTAAGTTCTTTGTTTATGATTGCTATTTTCAAACCAGTGGGATCCTTTCCGATAGAGATACAAAATAAGACGATTTGTATTACCGGTAAACCAATGATGAACGCCATCATGCTAAATAAAATGAAAATTATTAATATTATTAGAGTGACGTTATTGCTGTGATATACAGATATCAACAAAAAAAAAAAAAAAAAAAAAAAAAAGTTGTTTACATATTTACCCAACATTTCTCCACATCCATAAAAAGTTTTTCCAGATTAATGCCTTCATATGTTGTGGATTTAACATGCTGAATTTAAATGAACTTTTTTCCTCCGGTGGTAATTCCGGTAACTATAAAATTGAATTCGATTTCAAAGGAAAAAAAAAAAAAAACGAAAGAAGAAGAAGAAAAAGAGAATAAAAATAAAGAAAAAATAAAATATAATTCAATCTCAAAAACTTGTTATATTAACTCGTGACTTTTAAATCTTACATTTCCGTCATCCATAACTACTATGCTCCTTCTTCGACTAGAAATACTAACGTTGTCACCAAACTCGCCACTCATCTCGTCATCAACGTCCTATAATCGAAAGAAAAAGATAAATCGACGTAGATAATGATTTTATATAATCGATAGAAGAAAGATGAAATTGGTTATTACAATTTCCGGTGGGACACCTGTAACACTACTGAGAATACTACTTCTCCTTCTGAGACCCATGTTCTGACGTTTGCTGAGTTTTAAAAAGACTTCCTCCAGAGTATCCAATCTATGCATTTCCATTAGCTTAGTCGGTGATTCTTCAGCAAGAAATTTACCTCCTCTCATCAGTCCAATTATACTAGCTTGCCTGGTCTCCTCGATATAATGTGTCGTTATAATTATTGTCTTTTTACCATCTTTCGTTAAATGAACCAAATGATTCCAAATATTTTGACGTAAAACAGGATCAACTCCTACGGTTGGCTCATCAAGTATTAAAAGTTCTGGATCTGTCAATAATGCTGCAGCAAATGAAACCCTTCTCTGTTGTCCACCAGAAAGATTCTTTATAAAACGATTCTCCGATGGTAATTCCAAGAACTGAGATAATATATATTAAAGCGATCTCAATAGAAATTTCAATTTTTTTTTTTTTTTATATCTTAAAAATCTAGAAATTAGTATATTGTTTATTATAAAAATTAAATGTATATTACCTTTAAAAGGAATTCTAATTTCTCGTCAATCTGTTCGGTCGATATACCTGCGATCCAGCCAAAATATAAAAATGTTTCTTTTATCGAAAATTCATTGTAAAGTGCAATTTCTTGTGGCATGTATCCTAATCGTGGACCAGGTACACCTGATTCCTTTGATCCTGGCCTACCACCTAATACCCAAATTTCTCCGGAATTAAGACGTCTTCGACCCACAATGCAGGATAATAATGTAGTTTTTCCACAACCACTGGCACCAAGGAGACCATAACTAAAACGATATTATTTATGAAAAATACGTCGGATATATATATATATATATATATATATATATATATATATATATTTCATGTTATTTAATTTTTATTTATTAATTCTTATTTATTATAAAATTAGCGAATATATTCGCTATTTTTATTCCTTAAGAGTTTTTCCATAAAAGAAAACGAAAAAGAGAGAAAAAAAGCATGAATTATTATAAAAAATTTCTCATTGAATAATTCCATTTAATAATTCATTCTATTTTACATAAAAGAAAAAGGAAAGAATGTATGTCAAATCCTAAATGATTTCATACATACTATCTCGTTTTATATTTTTCTTGTCATTACGTGAATCCTAAGTTGGCCGATTATAGTAAATTAATAAATAAAAAAGATATATTGATAATAATAATGATAATAATAATACATAGAATTATTATCGACGATAACTAATTTAATAATTAAATTATTTCATATATTTTCTTTTATATATTGTATTTGCTTGGGAGTATTTATGATTCATTAAAAAATCAAAGGAACAGTACAATTTTAAAAAATTTTTGGAGACAATTGATATTATAAGTTTTACGTAATCAGTATAGAGAGAGGGAGAGAGAGAGAGAGAGAGAAAAAAAGATATAATATACTATATTTAATGATCTCAAAAGTTTCAAAATCCAGCTTTATATAATTATTACTTTAATTAATCCTCTCTATTTTATTCGTTTCTTTCCTCTTCCTTTTTATTATTTTGTTTTTTCTTGTTTTTTTTTTCCCCCTTTAAACTTTCAGAATATTAATATTTCACTTACATTGCACCTTTAGGCACTGTCATGTTGAGCCCGTCAAGAACAATGTTTGAATTTTTTTTCGGTCCATACTTTTTACATGCCCTTCTAACACAAACCGCTTGCCTTCTTCTCGTATCCAAGGTCGAAGTTTGCGTTTGGAACTGAGCTCTCCTTGTTTTCAACTCCAACGAGGCTGTTGGTATTATAGGTGTTGCATTTGGCACATCCATCTTCTTTATATCCAAAGAGTGGATACAAAAAAAGAAAAATAAGAAGAGAGCAAATAAGGTAGAGAAAGTATATATATATATATATATATATATATATATATATATTTTATATTATTATATAAATATATATATTTTTTTTTCAAGGAGAATATTTGCACCTATAATATTGCAATTATTTTCGTTCCTTTTTTATTTAAATATAAAGATAAATTTGTATATGAATAATTCATGTATTTCAATATAAAATCATTAACGTCATTGAAATCAACGGAAGTTTATTGGAAAGAAAATATTTATTTGAAGTAAAAAAAATCGACACAAATTTTCGAGTAAGAGTTTTTTTACTTCGTCTCCTTTTTTTTTCTTTATTTTTTCTTTCTTTCTATCTTGGCAATTTGTTATTCATTTTTTTTTTTTTATATCGGAATTATATACAAAATGAGATATCACGCAAGAGTAAAGTAACACGCGAAATATCGATCGATCATCAAAACTGTATAATATATTATATTTCATGTCGTAAGATATTATGATGTCATGTGTTGAAGTCACTAAGTTACACCGAATGTTACATTATATTAATACGTAAATGTGAGGGAGAAAGAAAAAGAGAGTAAGACGATACGGTAGAGGCGGATAAAACCGACGATTAAAAATGAAAATAATGATTCATGTTATAAAATAAAAGTATGAAAAACAAATATTGTATCTCACATTTTATAGATCTTTCCTTTTGATCGATCTAAGCATTTCTATTATCATTAATTTTTCGTTTCTTTCATTCTCTAATGATAGTATCGTTAAATTCTTTCATTTTTTCTTTTTTTTTTTTTTTTTTTTTTTTTTTTTTTTTTTTTTTTTTTTTTTTTTTTTTTACAAAATCTATTTTCTTTTTTCACGTTAAATGATGATTAATAATATCAAATGAATTTGTATTTCATAATCTTGAGACAATTTTTCTTTTATCATTGCTTTCCTTCCTTTTTCTTTATCTTTTGCTTTATTAATATTTTCCATAGCGATTTAATTGATCGCGAATGTAAATTGATCGTCGTTCGATCAATGATAAAACTTTTAAAATAAATTCTTCCGGGTTTGGAAAGAGATAGACAACGAGTTGTAACAACGATTATCAAGTAAAAGTTTTTCCGTTGGAACTATGAAAACATGCGTTTGGTGCCATGTGGATTTGCGTTGCAGCATCCATAATAGGGAGACACGTCAGATTAACATGGTATATACGTGATGGAAATGAAAAATTCTCATTCTCGACGACATGTCTTCTTCCGTTCTGTGTTTAATAGCCATCGAACGTATATCGCGTAATTCGTCAGTGATGTAACTCACACGTTGTAAGTCGAACTCTCACTCTTATTAGTAATCTCTCTCGAGCAGTAAACCTTTCTCCTTAAGAGTTTTCGATCTGTTCGATTTCGAAATGATCTCTTGATTTTCTTCCAGTTGTGTAGTTCGTAATGGATCAAAAAAAAAAAAAAAAAAAAAAAGAAAAAAAAAAGAAAAATAAGATACAAGTTTCGAGAAGACGATTTTTAATTTTATAGATGATTGAATAACGAGAATTGTTTTTATTTTTTCTCTCTCTCTCTCTCTTTTATATTCATTCTTCATTTTTTCTTT